TATGAATACTGTCGAAGAGAATCGTAAAAAAACAACTCTCATAGAGGAAAAATTCGCAAGAAAAAGATATTTGAAAAATTCTAATTGAAATTAAAAAAAAAACAGAAATTCAATAAGGAAACGATAAGATTTTTAATTGATTAACATTGGAGAATTTTGGGTACGCCGCTGATCAAATGAGCAATGATTTTTGATTCAGATATAGTAAAATTTTGAAATAAACTGAGGAAAGCTTGATTATCATTCACAGCATCATCTTTACCAAAAAAGCTTTATTTGCCCATAGTCATCACTTACAAGCAACAATAACGGATGGTAAAAACTCAACCTTGCTTTGATCAGAGTACGAGTAAGTATAAGAAGAACTAAAGAGTAGGTTTCAAACGGCTCTTCCAATATCATAATCCTGAAAAAAAATCACTTGAGAAATGAAAAAAAACGACAGAAAACAATCGAAACAAGTTATGAAATTTTCAGCAGCTTCTGAACGAAATAAAAAATCAATAACTTCAAAGAGCAACGTATTAGACAAATTTCGCAGTAGAAAAATTCCAATTTTAACAAAACACAGTAACTAGTGAAAACTATCTCAATTTCAAAAAGAGAATGACATGATTTCCAGTTGATTGTCAATGGACGAAATTGAAAACACAGCTGATAAAATCGTCAACGAGCCCTGCTCAGATATGGTGGAAAAAAATTGAAATACACAGAAGACAGTTTTATCAGCATTTACAGCACCATCTTTTAGAGAAAAAGAAACTGTATCTAAAGATCTTAACCATTTACAATCTACAACAGAGAATAAAAAACAAAGATTTTTTTTTCACGATCACAGCCCAAGAAAGATTCAACAGATCTACAGAGAAGCGTTCAAATGGCTCTACCAAAATCATGTTTATGAAAAATATTACTAAAAGACTAATGGAGTTTAAACTACAGTTCAATCAGAAAAGGGCCAAAACTTCAGTGGATTGTCATTGGATGAGTTTAAGTGCACGACTGATCAAATCGTCAAGGATTCTCGATTCCAATATGGTAAAAAGAATTAGACTGAACAGAAAAGCAGGGTCAGTTTTTACAGCACCATCTTTTGCACAAAAACAACTTATCTGATAATCGTTATCACTGCAATAAAAAGCGGTGGATAAGAAATTCAACCTTGCTTCGATCAAAGTCGGAGAAAAAGCCATCGGGAGGCATTCAACGGGAACTTCCAAAATCATCATCTTGAAAAGTATAACTAGAGAAATGATCCAATGATCGCAAACAGAAGCGAAAGAGTAGATCAAAAATTCAGTTAATTTTGAACTCGCTAAAAAAACAGCTCCGGTGAGAAAAGTTTTAAACAACTCCCGGAAAAGCAACATTTATTAAAATAAGAACCGTTTAGAAACCTAATTTAAAATAAACACAATGCACACAGAGGCAAAGCTTAGCTTCGCTTCACTGACGATACAAAACAAGAAAAATAATGAAGAAAAAAATTATCGAAAAGGAAGAAAAAATGAATAAGCTTAGATAATCTATTCAAATGATTAGGCTTAGATTCGAAGTTAAAAACATGCCAAGGCAAGATAATGAGTAACAAGATTTGGATGATAATGTATCCAGCGCTAACAAAACCGAAAAGTCCCTTTTCAGAAACCCTTTAGGCCAAAAAAACTCAGCAAGACTTCAGACTTCTGAAAAGTCAATTAGCTAACCTCGCCCTCAGAACAATTTATTAGCCCGTCAAAAGAAACATTATGAGGCCATTAAGTCGATATAATATAGTCCACAACCTACTAGGCCCAAAAAACTAAAAAAGAGCCAAAAATGGACTAATAAGTTGTTAAGTCCACCTCAACCCCAAAACACAGACAAGCACACACAAATTTTTTCGCTCGTCGAAAGACGCAATATGAGACCAACAAACCGAAGCATGTCGAGCTGAAAAAACGAGAAAAAAACGATATCATAAAAAACTTCATCATAAATATAATAAAAATTTAAGCAATTTATGTGATCCGGATGTGAGTTTTAAAAAAGGATTCCCATAAAACGACTATAAATTAAGTCACTAAGCCAATTAAAACTAGGCCGAAATCCTTTGGGCAGAATAGAAGTTTTAAAGGAATATATATAAGTCAATTTCAGTAAAATTACGAATATCAGAGTAAATCAGAACAATGAAAGCAACTATGATGTACGAAACTTTTTTAAAAAAATCTACAATATGGCAACTAAGCCGACAAAACATGAGCAGACCAAAATAAGCCGACAATTTCTTTTGAAACCGACTATTTCCCGTTAGAAACAAAAAACATGTCCGGTCAGTTTCGAACAAAGGACCTTTGCCATCCCAGGCTCAATCGTTACCTCCACGCTAAGTGCACTAAAAACGCTTAGATATTCGAAATAATTATGAACCAAAATAACAATTGATTTAAATGATTTTGTTGAACAAAATGTTCTCAAAAATATATATATATATTCCGATTTCATAGCGCTTGCTAATCGCAAGCGTATTATGGAACGTTTTAGCGAAACCTCAATCGGAGTAGGACATAAATTCCATTGGCTTTATATTTAACGAAGTGAATTAAACCGCTATCGAACGGTCAATACTCCCTGATGTATATGTATATATGACGAGGACAAACAAAGGAAAACTTGATCAGTATTTACATCAGCTTTTGCATAAAAAGGAACTTTCAATTTAGATTGTCAGCATTTACAATTAATATAACAATTGATCAAAATTTCGATCTTGCTGAAATCAGAATACGAGAATATATCAACCGATCTAGATATAAGCTTTCAAAAGGGTTCTTCCAAAATCATCATATTAAAGTTATACAATTACTTAAGTAAAATAACGACAGCAAACAATCATAACAGTACATCAATTCAATGAAAACATTTGAACGAGCTCAACAAAAGAGCAGCTACGAGAAAAAACATGAAAGCAATTCTTACAGTAATATGATCGTACATAAAAAAAAAATTCTTCGAAAATCTGATTGAAACAAAACAGCGGATATTGAAAGTTTAAGCTAAATTTCAATCAGAAAAAAGTTAAAATTTTCCCCTTATTGATATTGGATGAAGTTATGTACACCGTTGACAACAAGTATCAACAGATCTAAGAAAAGAGCTTTCAAACGGTTCTTCCAATATCTCTATCTCAAAAAAAAGAAACAATACATCAAATCTTTGAACAATTCTGACGGAAGTTTGCAAATCAGGACCTCAGAGGAGAACTGTTAAAAGCAATTCTCACAGTAGCATCATTCTTACAAATCTTTCAAAAATTAAATAAAGCTTAACAATGCATATTGAAATTTAAAGCAAAATTCCACTCAGAGAATGACAAAATTTTCACTTCATTGACACTGGACAAATATAAGTCCACCGTTGATGAAACCACCAAAGATTCCTGATTCAGATATGATTAAAAAAATTGAAATCAACAGAGAACTTGAACAGCAACATCTTCTGGAAAAAAAAAATATTTTAACTTAAGATTGTCATCATTTGCCATCAACGATAACGGTGGATCAAAAGTTATACTTTCCAGCTTTTGTTCGTTTTTTAACCTACACTTTAGAAAAAATTGAATTTTAAAAATTTTTGGCCACATTTGGAACCCCTGAGAGTACCATGAGAGCACCACTCTAGAGAGTTGGTAATTCTGAAATAATATTTATTAATTCAAATTTCTTGAAACTTTTGAAACCTCATAAAAACGTCATGTTTCGAAAGCCGAAAGAAGTTCAGCAGTCATATTTGAAGGGCTGAATTGCAACCCCCGAGAGTACCCTGGGAGCACCACTCTATAGTGTTGTAAATTTCAAAAAAAAAACAATTAATTCAAACTTTTAAAAATTTTGAAAAAAATCACAAAAAAACGTTATATCTCGGAAGCTGAAAGGCTTTGAGCAGTCATATACTGCATCTCGAAACAATGTTGCCATCGGCTTCAGAAATTCAAGTTTTGCTATCATTTAACAAGATTAAGTTTTTTTGGAAAAAATGTATAAATTCTTGAAAACGCCGCATCTCAGAAACCATAACAATTTGGCCAGAATTATTCGAACGCCAGATTCGCAACCCTAAATGTACCTTGACAGCAGTCCAACATAAAATTCAGAAATTCAAGTTTGGATAATTATTTTTCAAAGTTTTCTTTTGGAAAAAGATTTGAAAAGAAACAAAAAACGATTTAAAATCGTTGGGTGTAACCTGACTACATCTCACCTTGGGTTTGAAACATTCAATTTTTCCAAATGAACACTCAAAAAGCTTCAAAAAGTTTGCATTGCGAAAGAAGAAAAAATTGCAGAGTTAAAACATAGCCAACGGACAGTTGGAAAAGAGTAATGAAACGCAAAAAAAGAGAAAAACGATTTGTTTTTTTTTTCTTCAAAAAATTCACCTTTTGAATTTCGAAGAAAAAAATAGATGGTCTTCAAGCTCTTTAAATTTGTAGAACAATTTATGATAGACAATTTTTTGTTAAAACTAACCCAATATGAGAAAACTGGATCAATAGGTTTTACTTCTTTTCGCTGGAAAATCTGATAATTAATTTCCATGTTCGAAATTGGAAGTCGATCACGTTTTTCGTAACCTTTACACTTTTGCTGTACGATAGTGGAGTTTGCTTCGTTTAACAAAAAAAACGCACTGAACTTAAAAAGAAATCACAAGTCAAATAGCGAAAAATCAAAATTGAGCTTGAACAAATTTTAAGACTTTTTCCTGAAAAAAAATCTGATGTAAGGCTAGAATCGTAAATGACCTTGGAAACTTAAAACATAATAACACGTTTCAAATAAAGTTCCAATCAAAAAATAAATAGATGAACTTTACGTCAAATTTCAAGGTTTCTTTAACCAATAATGAGAACGTATCAACAGATCATAATCGATGCCTATTTGACTCCAACTCAAAAAAGCCCAGCAATATCACGTTAAAATAACACGTCTCAAGCATAAAAACGCCTTTCCACTTACCAATTGACCTATCGTCGGCTAAAGTTGACGTTTCAAACCAGATTGCTGTTTGAGTCAGCAACTCCTCCACCAAGAATCTTCCTGCGATTCTCGGTCCCAAAGTGAACACCAATGCACTGCATGTTTCCACTGCCATATCCGAAACCAGGTCTTCTGGCGTCTCTTCCGTAATGTTCGATACCCTTGACTGACCTCGTGTAGAAAACAGGGTATTTCGTTTCACAATACCGGGGCTTGAAGGATCGCTTAATTTCAAATCTCTAGACGTCGCTCGTCTGTGTCTCGAATAAGACATCTGCATTGATTCACTGAATGAGTAACGATTAGCCAAACCGTTGTCTTGAGGCGAAAGGGCAGTTCCGAAATTCGGATTCAACGCATCTCGCGGTTCATCCATATCACCCTGGCTGATTGAATCATGCGTTTCCGAATTCGCCAAGGAAGGTGAAGGGCTTGGCGTTTTACATTGCCATGAGGGACCGGTTAGAAGAACTGAATTTGTAAAGTCTCTAGTTTCTTTTTTACGCATGATATCATTAGTTTCTAGACACGAATCCGCCGATTCTGAAGTTGACGAAGACTTTGTATCTTTATCGCTGTCCGACGTTAATAACTGCCCTGTATCAGAATAAGTTTCATTTCGATGAACTGCGTCTTGTAAACTAACCTGAGTTTCGACTCCCAGGGGTGTCGATTTTTGTTCGTCCGTGTTTACTGTACATTTTTGAGCTGATTTGTTTTTGTCAGCTTCTTTGGATCCTGCGAGACCTTCCACAAAAAACTTGAGAAATTTCTTCGCAAAGACAGACAGCCCGAAAATGCGAATGAGCGTTTCTGCAAACGATATCGAGTAGAGCTAAAAGCAAACCCATCTTTAACTTATTTCAACTCTTTGCACTTGTAGGTGATGTCGAGATCCATTATCAAGGAAGTGAAATCGAGTTTTTGACAAAGGGTTCACTGGCGATTGCTTTATAAACAAAAATTTATACCAGTAAAAATAGACAAGTTGAACCAATGAGTCATGTCTTGATTTTAGGATCAAGACTAATGCATTATTTTGAACATTAATTTCTAGCCACATTACCAGGCCAAATTACACTCTGTGTAGGCCCACCTTATGAAGTTCAGCCGAACTGCTCTCTTCCTCGAAACACTTCACGACCAGTCTTAAAAAGGCTTCTTGACTCGATCTCTTCGACAGAGACCTACACGCCACTGGCACTATTTTAACAATAGCAAGACACCTCGTCGCTTCATTTTCAACCAGCGTCTGTACAAACGGAAGACAGATCGACATCAGATTTATAGTTGCCGTGGAGTCCAATAGCGATAGGAACTTGGCCATGGTTTGAAACAATTCTGGCGTCACAGTTTCAGGAAAGTCTGTGGATTGAAGCAGTGAGCTTAGTTTGCATATTTTGTAGCAGTTCTCCATGCCTGCTGGGAATTTGATCACGTGGCAATGTGGTTGGATCAACATGGCAGGAGTTAGTTTGATGTGGTTTGTTCGGTCGCGCATGAATTCTTCATAGTTTGATGTGAAGCACCTAAAAAGTCAGTTTTTTCCTCAAACAATATAAAACAAGTATAAACACAGAGGCAAAGCTGCGCTTCGCCAAAACTTGCGAGATCACGACCAAAAAGCAGCTCTATCAAGTGAAATAAGAAAAAGTAGAAACAAGCCTCGAATTAGCAATAACTTGGCTACGTGTCGGATTCGAATCTGCGACCTAGCAAATTTGCGTCTCACGCTCTAACCACTCAGCCACGAATGCTTAAAATCCCCAAAACCAGCCACCAAAAACGCAGCTACATATGCTAATCAATTGCCAATTCAATGCTGCAAAAGTAGCACCAAATACGAAAAGACCCAATTTTGCATGTAATAAATTGGAAAGCATAAAGCCAAATTATGTATAAGTTATTCATTTCAAAAAAAATGCGAGATACATTAAATTGGAAAATTTCTGAAATCTTACTCGTTCTAAGAAACTGTGCTTCGCAAGTGTAAACATATGATATCATGTGTTCGAGTAGACTTTCGATAGGTGCGTATTTGTATTGTTCGTGTTCCTTTAGTCTATCCATTCCATTCTGGTAATTGAACAACAATAAATTTGAGTTACCTTTAAAAATGTTCAAATACTTATACGATTACAGGAGTAAGCGAAAAAATAAAGAACAGCTACAATGAAAATTGCATACAGCAAAAAAATTCAAAAGATGGCAACTGAGCCGACAAAACATTCGCAGATTCATTAGCCGACAATCTGTTTGAAACAGAATATTTCCCGATTAAAAACAGGTCCTGGTCAGATTCAAACCCAGGCAAAAAATTTGCCATCTCGGCGTATTTGTTACCTCCAGACTAAGTGTACCGGAGACGCTTAGAAATTTGAGCTCAAAATGAAACAAGATACCAAGTGATTATTTTAAACAAGCTGTGAAACAGACAAAAAAATCTATATTCAGAATTGATAATGCCTGCTAATCGCAAGCGTAAACACTCAAAAACATGCTCTGATTTCGACATCAAATAAATTTAGATCACGAAGTTTGATTTTTAATTCAATTTAACTAGTGATAGACAATTCAGCACGACTGACCTTGAAAGTAGCGTGTATCTCTGCTCAATAACCTTCGAACACATGACCAAAGTGTGATTAACACTTTGATCAGCCTCAAAACACAGTTTGCGCGACAGCCACAAATGACACCAGAGAAAGGTAACAATCTTCATATCTTCAAGTAACACTTCCGACCAACTTTTCACATTCCGCAGAGATCCACCATAAGTCGTGTTCAAATTCACACCTGAAGCAGTGGAGTCCAAACCCATTTTCCATTTCTCTTGTCCAGCCGGATTTAACCGATTCGAAAACAACCCAAGCGATTCAATAACAGTTACAGGCGCCACAACATCCATTCTGTTATTCCGCTTATGCTTAGCCGCTTTCTTATGCGATTTCACACTAACACTTCCAGCAAGACTGTTTTGAATGTTGGCGTTTTTGTCGTCACCCGTGTCCTGAGTTGTTTCCCGCAGCAGTTGGTCAATTTCGGGGACTCCGATGCTCTCAATTGGTGTCGCTGGCATTCTAGGCGGGTGGGGGACATTGAACAACTGCAATGGCCCGTGGTTCATTGGGTGCTTGTGGCTGTCGACCAATTGCAGAACGAGGTTCTTACTCGTGACAGCCGACGAGCCAGTAAGCTGAAATAAAAACCTTGTTTATATTCTTCAAAACTATGCCAAAGCAGCAACGTTCAAGCAGCTTAACGTAAATTCCACTAATGGAAAACTTGATTTACTTGTACGATTCCTGTAATTGGATAACTCTGCTAATAATGTGTTTTCAAACTGCCAGATGTTGCTGTTTTATCAAGATGAGCATTACATACCTGGTGCCCGAAGGTGATATCAATCCAGTAATGCAGTCGTTCCGACACTTCGTCGCACTCCAAAATAGCCCTGTGCTGCTTTACAAACAACTCCGGATCCCCTTGCGACCAGGCCGGCAACTTAATATCATCCATATCCGCATGACACGACTTGATAACTGAGGCGTCCGAGAAGTACTCGGGGATACACTCGTCCGGAGTCCATTCGTAGAGTCTTTCCATCGACGCTGGATACTCTTGAGGCACCCAGTTAGGTCTCACATGTTTGCACAAAACCTCAACGGGAGTTACTCTAGCTTTATACACGTAGTAGGTTATATCCGAGAAGAAGTGGGTCACGTGATGTGGCGACGTTATAAGCGAAGACTCAGTTTCGAGACTCAGTGAGCTTTCGAATCCCGTTTTGAGCATCTTGGTTGAAGCGAAACTGAAATCCAACTGGGCGTCTCCTTTGTTTAGCCTGTACTTGGAATGCCTGAGGTTCCTCCGAGCGGACATTTCCTTGAAATCTGTCACCCACGGCATGATCGGGTGGTTATTTGGCTCGTTCATCACCCGACCTGCCGCTTTGTTTAGAATCATGATGTAGTCGTAATTAGAGAGAGCGCCCATGACCCACGCTTGCGTCGCTTCGCTTAACTTAATTTCAGCAAGAACTCGATGTGATTCTGAGATTGCAATTTCTTCGTCAAACTTCTCGAAAACTTGTGAGAAGCAAGAGTCAAAATTCGGAACTAAAACAAAACGTTATTTCTTTTCAGTTCAAGAACAACCGATGATTTTGTTCTCCCTTGAAAAAAATGAAGTAATAATGTTGCCCTTCGTCTATCCTCTCCTTAGCCGTTGTAATTACTTTTATAAATTTTTGTTGATGTTGTACAAAACATAATTCTGGAGAAACAATATCTTTTTTCCTTGATTTAGATTAGACAAACAAAAATTGCAAAAAAAAACTAACTCAGCTGTATCCAGGTATTATTGTCGATGTAGAAATCAGTAGTTTTGATCTCGCCAATAGAAATCTTGAACTCTTGTAGAAACTTTGCAGCAGATAGAATTTGGAAGAAGAGAAAGTTCTTCTGGTCAAATGGTTCGACCAGGGCAGGCGAGTAATCCAAGATGTCTTTGAGGGAGAAGTCGCTGTACTCGAGCAGAATGATGAAATGATCTTCGAACTCCAGAATAGCAAAAGCAGGCAGAATGTTTGAGTGCACTGAAGTAGCAATCGGCATTGTTAATTCTGGATTCGCGTAAACGTCTGAGACTGATTTCGATGGCAGTGTAGTCTAAAAAATATCAAACAAGAGTAGCTATTTCTCAGTGCATGTACAAGTATCCAAGAATGTTCCGACCGGATTGATTAATGCAAAAAACTTGAGCCGTTTGGTTAGATATATTCAATTGAAAATGAGCTCCATATAAGGCATATTAGCCTTAAAATCTTTTAAGTTTACTGAAACAAAATGAATGTAAGTTAAATAAGAAAAATGCAATCCTCTGCTGAAATCAGTCTGAAAAACGGAAAAATTCCGACCAGATATTCTGGACGCTGAAATAACTTTTCTGGATTTCTGATGGAATCAGAATAACGTCTTAAAGGCCTTAATCTGATCTACCGCTGAAACCCATCTAACGTTTATGTTTCACCTCTGACCTGAACTTGCGTGAAAAAATGGTGGTAGGAGCAACATAAATTAAGATAAGAAAAGATGATTTATGCAGTTCGTCGATGTGATTTAAAGCTTAAAAATGAATTCCGCGCGCAATTAACCTAACATTAAAATTAAGAGAGAACACAGGTTAGACGTGATCGGACTTGAAAGAGAGTATGCACTTACCTGCACATGTGGTCGAATAGTTTCACTTCTGTCAGTAGAGCAACAAGCACTCCTCAAATCCAAAATCGGCCTGTTGTATATTTCACTCAGCACTCCGCCTATTGAAAAATTTACCTCCTAAAACAATTTTTTTTATCATTGGAGCACAGCGCTCAACAGGAGCCTCACATGATAATCGATATACGACGAGCAATAATTGACAGAAAGACCACTGACTTTTTCGGATATGCTCTGTTCGATGAGTTTCTGTAGCGAAGCGGAGTCACTCGGACTCAGACTATTCTTCAACCTGGAGTTGTTTCTCAGCCACGTGTGTAGTGAACTCTGCTCACTCAGGGTGGCATAGTAGTCTCTGTAGCCCATGGACTCCTTCTCGAATGGGTTCTTCGTACCAGGCACACGCCTGCGGAAAAAAGCGACATTCAGAGCACCCACTTGACGAAGAAAAAAAACAATTCCAACGATTATTAAAAATAAAATGCTGACTGTTTATAAACTTTTTGTATATGGCCTTCCGAATTTTGGCATGCGTTCTTTAAACGGCTTATATTCAACTCACTTTTTGAACACATGTTTACGCCGTACGAAAATGCATATCAAACTAGACCAAACAGATTACTATACCAGAATCTTTCTGCGGAAATAAGCAAAAATCACATTCAATATAGCACAGGGGTTCAAAACTTTCGAACTTACTGGGTGATAATGACTTCCTACCACCGAAACTTGGTTCCTTGGAAAAACATGAAAAGTCGATCTTTCTTCGGAAAATGAGCGGAAACTATGCTATGGGAAACATTGATCTTACCCGCTTTATTTCTAAAAGTTACAATTCGCTTGCCATGTATTGACAATCCAATAGCAGTGTGATGCTATCAGAGTCCGAACATAGGCTGGGAATTTAGCCCAGACACAAGACCCCTCAATAGTTGCTAGCTTTCGCGAGATCGACAATTTTATAATTTTTTTAAATATATATATTAAACTTTCTGACAGCAGTGAAATGGGGCATCGCTCTCATGATATTTGGGACAGTGACAATAAATATACTGAAGTCAGTCGAACACAATTTCAAACAAAAAATCCATGGCCGTGAAGTTCTTTGAATCCAAAGAGCAATTTATTATTGGCATTTTTGATAAAATTATCCCAATTGGAGAAAACTGAATCAATAAGGAAACTTTTATTTCGCTGGGATTTCACTTAAGAAACCAGAGGTCGATTACGTTATTTCGGGACCTTTACACTTTTGCTGTTCAATAACATAGTTTGATTTCCTTTGAACAAAAAAATGAATTGCACTTAAAAAGAAATTAAAAGTCAATTCGCGAAAATGTAAATTTTAGCCTGAACAATATTTCAAATTTTTCCTGACAAAAAACCGCAAAACAACCATCGCAAAAAATATTTGGACATGAATCATTGTCAATTCAAAGAGCAATTTTTTCTTGGCATTTTTTAAATAAAATTAACTCAACTAGCAAGAACGTCTCCAATAATCAATTGACTCACAAAAGGTTAGTAGTTAATCTGATCAAGCTATTCAAGCATTGAAACTTCGATCAATTACAAACTAATCCATATCGTTAATTGGTTGAAAAACTTTAATTTCAATGAAACGAATCGGTTTGAGAAAATTTTAGGTTTTTCTAGGCGAGCTGTTCCAGCAAAAAAAACTTGTTTTAAATGTTTTAAATTAAATCAATAATCCATTCCGATGGCGAAAAAATTAGGTTTTTACGTTGAATACATTCAAGCGATGAATCTTTGAAAAATGTTAAGTAACTTGTTAGGACAATCGTTCCTCGAAAAATCAAACATTTCTTAAGCAATCTATTCGTGCTATGAAACTTTAAAATATTCCAAAACCTTTCGGATCAAAACGATTCGCGAAAAATTTGAGTTTTTCCAAGCAAGGTATTCAAGCTATCAAAGCTTGAAAAAAATTCAAGTTCTTCATGAAGCAAATCAAATGGCGATATTTTAAAGTTTTTCTATTGAAACCAGTTAAGCAATTTAACTTCGAAATATTTCAAGTTGGTTCTTAGACCAAACCAGTTGGCGAAAAATCAAGCTTTTTTGAAGCGAGCTATTCGAGCTTTGAAAAATTTCAAGTTATTTCATAGATCGAGCTGGTTCGCAAAAATCAACCTTTTCTTTGCAAGCTATCAAGCGAAAAATTTGGAAAAACTTCAACTTTTTCCATAGAGCGAACCAGTCCGAGAAAAATCAAACTTCTTGTAAGATAGCTATTCAAACTATGAACCCTTGAAACATTTCAAAATATTTCTCGAAAAGAATCCGAGAGCGAAAAATTTCCTATTGCAGCCATTCAAGTGATTTAACTTAGAAAAATTTCAGGTTAAGTCATATATCGAACTGGTTTGCAAAAAATTAAATTTTTCCAAGTAGGCTATTATAGACCGAATTGCTATTCAAAAGGTTGCTATTCAAGTTTAGAAACTTTGAAAAACTTCAAATTACTCAATACTCTGAATTGGTTTGCGAAATGTTTAAATGTTCTACGCAAGCTATGCCAGCTATGAAAACTGAAATATTTCAAGTTTTTCGAAGATCGAATCGTTTCGCGAACAAGTTTAAGTTGCTATAATCAAGCTATTCAAGCTAGGAAACTTTGAAAAATTTCAAGTTATGCCATAAACCCAATCGGTTTGCAAAAGTTTTCTAAGAAAGCTATTCAAGCTATGAAATTTTGAAAAAGTTCGATTTAATTATTACACTGAATTGGTTTGCGAAGTGTTTAAATTTATTACGCAATCTATTCTAGCAATGAAACAAAATATTTCACGATCTATTCCAGCTATGAAACATAAACTAATTCAAGTTATTTCAAAAACCGAATCCGTTAGCGAAAAAAAATTAAGGTTGCAAGCCTTGAAACTTTGCTATATTTCCAGTTATTTCTTAGACGAATCGGTTCGCGAGAAGCTTAATTGCTTCAAAGCCAGCTTTTTAGGCTAAGAAACTTTGAATTATTTCGAATTATTTCATAGACTGATTCGGTTTGCAACAAATTTTATATTTTTATAAGCTATAAAACTATAAAACTACGGAATATTTCAAGTTGTCTCCTAGACAAATCGGTTCGCGATAAGTTAAAGTTTTTCTAAGCCAGCTATTCCAGCAATGAAACTTCGAAACTTTTCGAGTTATTTCATAACTCGAATCCTTTTGCTACAAGTTTGTTTTTGTAAGCATGGAGGTTGCTGTTTCTAGTTGATTCGTTTCAGATTGAATTGAATCGTAAAAAGCAAAACTTTGGACAAAAAAGGGCAGGTACTGTCTAGCCTTGAAGTTGAATCGAGTTCATCTCGCTCTGATTTTTGCTCTGAATGATTCTTAAACGTACTGATTTAAGCCTTTTAAACGTTGCGCTCGCTAGCCCCTTAAACATTAGGCCTTATGCTGAAAACGTGTCATTCATTTAATATACAGGATTTATGAAAACTGGATTAAAAATAAATTTTTAATGCACTGAAAATTAAAACATTGCTTTCGAAATTAGAAGTCAATCATTTTTTTTGCAATCTTCAGACTTTTGCTGTTCGATAGTAGATTTTGCCTTCCTTTTAACAAAAGAAATGAACTGAGCTTAAACAAATCTAAAGTCAAACCGCAAAAAAGTAAATTTGAGCATGATGAAATTTCAATACTTTTCCTAAAAAAGTCATCGCGACCTATATAAGAGTCTGAACTACGTTCATCGACTCTTATTAAACACAAAAATGTCTGACAAATTTAGATATTGTTTGCAAATCTTTCATATTTAAGCAATTGAAGGAAAATATTCAATTGAAGGAAAATATTCATCGTTTCAGAGTTCGTAGGTTAATTTCTGAAGAGTACGCTTTAATGTTATAACTAGATGTGTGGTGAAAATTTAAAACGAGTCCTTTTTGTTTCATTAAACACCACGACAAATTCAAAGTTTTTCTTATCGCACCTTTAACCCCTATTGCAAAGGGGGGATTCGTGACAAATTATAATAAACCAGCATGCCCTACCGTTTAATTACTTCCTCATAGTGGAAATTTTTCACAAGATAACAAAAATGGACGCAGGGCCCTCGATCTGAGAGACGCGTGCTTTATCCCACTCGGCTACTTCCACTCACTTCAGATATCTGTTCATAATACTCATGGATCACATTCATCATGCATTGAATCATATGAACTCCTCGTGACTCACATATACAGGACACTAACTTGTTTTCTAAATACCATTTCAAATATCCCAAAATTCTGTTTAAACGCAAGTTGCAACTTACAGGTACCTCCCGGTTGGGAGTTTATTGACAGCTGTGACATAGATCTGCGTCCAGTTGTCTGGCGGAAGCCTCCCCGCGTATGACCTCGTTGACAGGTGCAGTACCTCCGACTCCAATAGACTTCCGGTGGTCAACGTAGTTTCGGGTAGAACATTATTGGTGCACAAGTTGGACAAATACCAATCTGGCACCTACGCATTGCGCCATTTAAAAAGAGTTGGATAACATTTATTTTCGCAGTCATCAATCATTCTTATAGTGAAAACAAGGAGGGCCGGTCACTGTGCAAGTAGCGCAGAATGTTCCGACCACAATGATCACAAAAATTCTTCATTTTTATTATTTTTTTCTCAATTTTTGCTTCAATTTTCTGTTATATTGTTTTTGTAAACACTCAAATAATAGTGTCCCCCCTTTGTACTATTTTGAGATATCCAATGGCGGACCCTAAATTTTTTCTCTTTAAACTAACTTTTAGGGGGGAGCGCGCGCCGAAAAAACGCGATTTTTTGGTAAAAATTTTCCAAAAAGTGTCTAAAAAGGCTATTGTTGGCCCTTTTTTTCAAAAATTCAAAATCCCTCCTCAAAAAAATCCTAGATCCGCCCCTGCAGCCTCTCGTCAATTTTTATCTAATCAAGTCTGAAAACGAAAACATTTATGCATGTTTTTCTCCACACTGAGAGAACTTTTATTGATTTTTTCTAAGAACTCGAATTACGACAAAAACGACATTAATATGATACAACACTTATTTTATCAAATACTTATGCAAATTATAACCGTTTTTTGTGCATGGTGTCATGAGAAGAAGTTAAAGCTTATGAAGTCAAAGCTTATGAAAATCGTTATTTCACAATTCTCGGCTGCAGTTGTATTCAAAAAAATGAATAAAAAATAGAAAAATTGTGGCAAAGCAAAGAAGCAACAAATAAAGCATCGAAAAACTGTTGCCCTGGACTAAGACCAAATCTTTGCGGCTTGAAAAAAAATGTTATTTTGACACCTAAACGATCGAATTTTTACACGCTGGAATTTCAGCTAGAGCTAAAAAATTTCATCTTAAAGTTCAATTTTTTTTTTCGATACTGAGAAAACTTTTTTAGTGTCGTTAGAATCACGACTCGAAGGGCTGTAACATGATATTTCACTGGACATAATCTCATGATTATTTGTGGAACCTGATTTTAGTTTCAAACAACTCAGTGATTTGATGGTCAAAACACGGATCCGCTACTCAGTATATTGGGTTAAATGTGATATGCGATGCAAAAATAAATGGGTATGATTAAGTTCAGATGAATCAAAAAAACATAGCCAATCGCAGATTGCAAAAGAGTAATGAACGCAAGTAAACATAAAAAAAACACTGACTTTCTTGAAAAAACTTTCGAATTTCAAAGAAAAAAAAGCCCTTTAAGCTCTTTGAATTTCTAGAACAATTTATGATTAGCGCTTTTTTGATAACATGAACCCAACTTGAGAAAACTGGATCAATAGGTGAAATTTGTAAATTTATATTCCGCTGGAAATCTAAAAATTAAATCCCACTTTCAAAACTAGAAATCGTTCACGTTTTCTTGCGCCATTTCCACGTTTGTATATGGAGAGTGCTTTTTTCTTCACTTTCTGCAGATGAATTTCAATTTAAATCAAAAAGTGCATTATACCTAAGTGCATCAATATTTCAAGACGTTTTCAGAAAAAAAAACAAAAAAAATCAGCAAGACCTATATAAGAGTCTTCACTACGTTCATAACCCTTAATCGCAAATGACATTCTGATGTTACAAAAAAGCTAAATCTTGGAAAAAAGTTGATCTTTTGAAAGTAAGCTGACAAAATAAGCAGACGAACAATAGTCATAAATAGCCAAAAAAAAACAGTTTGCAAACAAAAACAGGCCTCTGCCGGGCTCCAACTTTAGAGCTGTGTAGACTGATGCATGCGTGTTACCAGCGCGCGAAATGCGCAGCATGAACTTCGAAATTTATCACAAGCGAGTAAACCACATTTAACGAGCAAATTATGAGAACAAATCTCTTTACGGGAAAATTCTGGTAATCGGTTGCAACACCCTTGCTTATCACAAGTGTTAAAAACAAATACAATGAGTCTACATGCATTTTTCTGTAGCTCTTGACATTTTGGGATCCTCTTTCAGATTTGATTTAACGGGAAGCAGGATTTAACCATCTCTCATTACAATTGCCTCATTTACGCTACAAGGTGACTGGTTATCTGAGATATTTAAGAATTTGGGATAGTTTCGATTCCCAATTGATAAATTCCATTTGAAGACTTACCGCACTTGCGATCACATGTTGCGATGCTGATCGTGTTACAGCTGGACACAACTTTAGCCGCTCAATGCATAACTGAGCCAATTCAGTAGAGCGAGCATTTGGAACAGTTGAAAAAATCATGCAGCCCTTAAACGAATGAAAAACGGTGAAATAACTTGAAATTTTGAGCCAACAAGAAAGCTATTCAATCGAATTAATCAAGTTCGCGGGCTGAAATTGTGAAACGAAATGAAACTTAATTTATCTCTCCGACAGAAATAAGACATGCAATGTCTAGAAATGAAAAACCAGACTTGTACAAAGAATGAATTTGGCTCCTTTTCCCCTCATACCCCCCTCTCCACCTCACATAGGCATCAGTTTTATATTGTGTAACGGGGTTTTTACAGATAAACATATGAAGAACCAGTAGCGGAATTAGGGGGCGGAAGATATCCATATACTATTTTGAGATATCCATTTTTGGCTGGCTGACCATAGAATTTTTCTAATGGCGCCAATCTATACTAATTTTTAGAGGGGAGCGCGCGCCGAAAAAACTCGATTTTTTGGTCACAATTCTCCAAAAAGTGCCAAAAACCCCCCCTTTTTTGGCCTTTTTCCAAAAATTTGACTGCGGAGCAGAAAAATTGGTCAAACTAAGGTCTTTATAGTGGTTTGGGAGAGCTCAGAAAATCAGTTTGTTCGACCTATAAAAAAGGTCGACAAAATTTTCAAAACTTTTTTGAAATCTGCCCGTTCTTCGAGAAATTCCTAGATCCGCGCCTGTGAAGAACAATTATGTTTTATGTTTGTCATAGCCTAATCATAATTAGCTCGCATGCCAATTTTTGAAACAATGAGAAAATGTGAGCAAAAAATTGACTTTTAAAAATTTGCAGGTGGGGGAACGAAAAAAGATCCATCAATTTATTATAACATATAAAATCTTAATTGGCCATGCTCAGATCAGATCTGATCAAAAAAAAAAGATTTAATCACAGAATGATACTTGAAATCAGAATTAGTATCAGAAAAGACAACCTGAGAGAACTCGTCACCTTGATAAATGACACCTTCAACAGTATAGCGAGCTACCCGGTAACCCAATTTATCATTCTTGGAAAACTTACATTATCCCTAGAACACTTTCGTCATTCTTTCTTTTAAGTTGTCAATAATAGCAATCAGCAAGAGGAATTTAGATTTTTTCCGAGCTTGAAATAACGTTTCCTTAGCGCCGAATCCAGTACACCAGATTTAAATAAGCGTAAAAAACATACGTTATTGAGCTCAAATACTTTGCGCCAGTTTTCGGGAGAGTTGGCACACTTTTTAAGCGCATCAGATTATCTATTGCTTTATATTTACAGCCATCTTGCTCCTTTTTCTTAAATTTATGCTCAAATCAACCATTTTCTTCTGCATGAAGCAATTTTTGCACTTCCAGGGCTAGTATAATTTTGTTTTCACTGTTAGGGTTTCTTCTGAATATTCCTTCAGTTTCGCTTTTTGCACTTCTCGATTTATTACTCGCCACAAAAAGAAACTTTTTTGCCCAGCATACTTCGATTTTATCGGAACTTCCAGGTCAATGATTTCCTTATAAATAACTGTTTAAAAAAACAAAGAAAGCCGACGAAAATTTTAGTACGAAAAATTGAAGAACAAAAATGCAAAAAATCATTGAAATTCATAAAAATCTACCCGTTTAAAGAGGGTTTAAAAAGGCACTGTGCCAAGCTTCTACTGACACTGACTTTTTTCTTGAAAAATTGGCAATTGAATTTTAATTATACAGGCGAAGCGGAGCAGGTGAGATATTGAAAAAAAAAACTAGGAGAACCAAAATGTTCGTTTGTCTCGATAGAAGATAACTAGAGGCCCAGCTGAAGCTGGAGGAAGCTGTTTGATATTTTTGGAATTTGTTTTACTGAAACGGGACGAGATAGGCAAATTAAAATAATAGACTTTGCCCTAAACCCTAATTGTTTCTCCAGTAAAATAAGTGAGAAGAGTGAAAATAGAACAAGTATAACCAAAATATTCGTATGCCTCGATAAAATAAAAATATGGGCCCATCTAAAGCTGGAGTTAGCAAACTGAAATAATCGGAAAAGGTTATACTGATGCGGGATGAAATGGGTAATTACGAAAATTGGACTTCGCCCAAAACCTTAGTTGTTTCTCTACTAAAATAAGTGTGAAGAGTGAAAACTTTTGAGAAATTGCATTCTTCCCAAATACATGAACTTTTTTTGCCGCATCAGTAGGAAAAAATTCTTGCCGGATCATACAGATGCGGGATCTGTAGTTGCCTCATCCGTAGGGAAAATGTTTGCACCTGGTTCTTTTGATTGAACCCTTTACCTCATATTTGATAGGGTAGTTTCTAAGAAAATCAAAAAGTTAACGTTAAAAGTTCAGAAACGTGAGTTTCCGAAATCAATAACTTTTTCTGCAATGAGAAGGTCATGACCGCTTAAGCAGAGAAGATTCCTAAAATCGGTTTTCTCGATTGGAACCCAAACACTTAACCTAATAATTTTCAGGGTAGTTTTCGAAAGAAGTTTATAAGTTTTCAAAAAACTTTCAAAAAAATAAAAATTTGACTATAATGCATATCACATTTTTTTGTGTAAAAATAATTGGGCGTAGCCGCTGGACAGAAGAGATGCACACAATCTGTTGTTTCGATTGAACGAAAAAAATTCAAGATTTGAGAGGGTAGTTTTCGAGAACAGTCAAAGTTTCAAAAGACGGTACAACAAACCAATTATTGACTTTTCCGAGGGCCATAACTATTGAGTAATAAAGTAAATCGTGCGTACTGGATTATGCAGAAGAACTTTCCAATCTGTTGCTTTGATTGATCCCAAAGTCTAAAATTTTTGAGGGTAGTTTTCGAGAAACGTAAGAAAATTGAAAAAACAGTAAAAAATCAAAAATTGGACTACTCTAAGGGCCATGACTTTATGCGGAGAAAATTTGGGCATAGGCGCTTACCATAACCCGTTTTAATCATTGAAACGTTTTATCCATTGCTTTATCCGTTGAGCCCGTTTTATCCATTGTTTTATCCATTGAGCTTACCAAAACCCGTTTCATCCATTGAACTCAAAATCTTAAGAGTTAGAAGGGGATACTTGAGAAAACGAAGTAATCCAAAACATGGGTCAAATATTCCCCAAAGACATTTATGAAGGCCGTAGACAGTGGGGTAAAGTAAAAAAAAGACCAGAAGATTATACAAGCGCACAGGGGAAAAGGCGGTCTTTCCACTGATAAGCCTTTTTTGAAATTCAGTCAAGTAGTTTTCTAATGAACTAAAATTTTTGCAAAACGTGAACGCATTTTCGAAAGCTTCAAAAAACTAAAAATAAAAACCCAATCACACATATTTTTATAATACCTGATTTTTTCAAACAGGAACTTTTTGAACTATCGAAATAACACACTATAAGTTGACTTATCCGGTAAAACATCAGCTGGTAAAACCATTTAAATTAAAAAAAAAACATAAAAAAAACATTAAAAAAACAAATTATCAGAATGAGACTTGGTAACATGACAACTTACAGATCTTTCAATTATTGTGAAAAAACTTTAGTATCAAAATAAAACCCATGCTTCACAGCAAATTAAGCCAAGGAAAACTAGTACCAGATAATATAAATGATATTTCAAAAAACGGAAAATCAACCGACGGAAACCAGGCCGAAAACAATTCCGAAAAAAATCAACATTGGGTAAGCGCAAGGGTTATAACAATCTAAGTCAAGGCTAGTAGAATTACAAATTGCAGGAGAAAGTGAAGGACATAAAAAGCAACTTCAATTTAAACTGCATACAAAACAAAATTCTAAGATGAGGCAAATAAGCCGCCAAAACATAAGTAGACAAATAATAAGCCGAAAATTTTTTGAAACGAAGATATTCCCCATGAATAAAAACAGGTCTTGGTCAGGTTCGAACCCAAGACCTTTGCCGTCCCAGGCTTATTCGTTGCCTCCAGACTAAGCGTACAGAAGGTGCTTCGCAATTGGAATTCATTATGAATCAAGATAGCAAGTGATTCTGATAAGCAAGTTGTTAACCCGAAAAAAAGTCCACATTCCGATTTGATAACACTGGCTAATCGCAAATGTAATAATAGTGTTACATGAAACAAATACTTTTTTTGGTTTACTTGATGAATTTGAAAAAGCATCAACGGTGTTAACTTTTTAATCAAATGTCAAAGCATATGGTATTATACGGCAAATGCTGCCTCCTACTTTAAAAGTGGCCCAACAGTATCACTTTCACATTGCCAAAAAAGCATTTTTATTTGCAACTTAGCTTGAAAAAAATTGCATCGTGTTATCATATCACACTACGCTCCGCTTGTGTTACATAATCCACGTAGTTACTACGTAAAGGATGATAGTTTTAATTAAATTCTTAAAAAATGAGCGTGTCAGCCAAAGAGAGTTGAACTTACCTATTAAATTGGCCAGTCTATGAACAAAATTGTTTACTGGCAAAGAAATCTAGTACCCGGTTGCAACACCCTTGCTAATCGCAAGGGTAATGATAATAGCAGAGAGATCGGTGGAAATGTTTGCTTTACGACTAGTTAATAACATCTTTTTTAACGTATGAAACCAATGTCGAGACACCTATTGCCTAATAAATTTTTCTATGAATCAAACTAAATTGTCAACCCATTGCTCTAAAGTGCTTCGAACTCAAACAAACTCAGACGAATCCCAATTTTGAATTTTCTTTTCAAATATATATACCGAATTCTCGACACAAATGGCTTTACAAAGTATTACTCCAGCTTCGAACCAGGACGTAAGCATAGACCTCCTTCTATGACACATCTTTGTTTTAACTGAGTCTGAACAATGCAAAAACAACCGAACAATGGTCCTTCCCACTTCGTGTGGAATAATGAAAAAACCCTGTTTTGAGAAATCCTGGTCTGAATTTTTTTGGTTCCACAGTAATGACACATAATTTACAATGACCAGATATGAGCATGAGAGAGAGAGAGTTCACAATTTATTTCTTTTGCAATTGAATTCTTATCGTGTGGAATAATGAAAAAACCCTATTTTGAGAAATCCTGGTCTGAATTTTTTTGGTTCCACAGTAATGACACATAATTTACAATGACCAGATATGAGCATGAGAGAGAGAGTTCACAATTTATTTCTTTTGCAATTGAATTCTTATCCTCATTTTGCTATTTTTGACCTAATTATATCTAAATTTATTGAAAAAAAAACATCAACACAGAGGTGAAGCGTAGCTTCGCACCACTTGCGACACAACACAAACATTAAAAAATATATATATCGAAGTCGAAAAAAATTTTCATACGTCTAGATAAAAAACAACTAGGGGCCCTGCTAAAGCTGGAGGTATGTGTTTGATATTGAATGAATTTGGTATACTGATGCGACACAAAATGTGACGTCAAAAATTGGGCTTTGCCCACAACCTTAGTTGTTTTTCTACTAAAATAAGTATGATATAACCGGTTCTTTCAGTTGAATTTTTAATCTCAGATTTGATAATGCAAATTTTAAGAAAATTCAAAAAGTTTCTAAAAAACGGTCAAAAAGATTTCCAAAATCAATGACTTTTTCCTGCAAAGAGCAGGTTGTGGCCATTTAAGTAGAGATGATTGGTGATGATGGGTTTCTCGATTGAACAGAACCTGAGAATTAGCACGGTAGTTTTCGCGTAAAGTCAAAAAGTTTCCAAAAATCTGTCAAAGATTTCAAACTTTGACTTGTTTGAAGGCCATAACTTTTTTCTTAAACAAACTGAGCAGAGCCAAATATAAAATTAGGCTTTTAACAACCTGTTCATTCGATTAAGCCTATAATATCAGATTTGGCAGGAGAGTTAGCGAGAAAAGTCCAAAAAAACGGTCAGCAAATCAAAGATTTGACGATTCCGAAAATCATAGATTTTTGTGAGAAAAAATTATACAAAAACGTTATGCAGAAGGGATTTAGGCATCCCGTAACTTAGATTGAACCTAAAAACTCAGATTTCGGAGGGTAATTTTGAGAAAACTTTCAAAAAAACAGTCACAAAATTAAATTATTTACTTTTCCGAGGGCCAAAACTTTTAGAGTCAAAAAAAATTTGGGCGTATTCCCATAAGCAAATGAGCTTTCCGAAACCCGTTGTGAGGATGGAAACCAAAATATCAGGTACGGCAAGGTATTTTTGAGAATACCCAAAAAGTTTTAAAAAAACGGTCAAAAAATCAAAAATTTGAACTTGCAAAGGGCGATAACTTCTTGTGTAAAACTTTTTGTTGGTGTCCACTAATGCAGAAGAGCCTCTCACTGCCCGCTATCTCCTTGAACCCACAATATGGGATTCAAGAGGTAAGTTTTCGAGAAAAGTCGAAAAGATTCACAAAACGGTCAAAAATCAAAAATTTGTCTATTCCGAGCAAAGTTTATGAGCAAAAAATTTGGTCGTAGCCACTTATTTAGTGAAGCTTTTCAAAACGGTTCATTTCATTGAAACCAAAAACGCATATTTCGAGAAAACAAAAAAAAATCAAAAATATGGGTCAAATATTCAGCCACACTTTTTCGAAGGCTCTAGACAGAGGGTTCAAGTAAAAAAGTTTAAAAAAGCCTCTAGAGAAGTACGCATGCACAGAGAGGGGTAAGCGCTCTTTCAATTGATACCCCTTCTCTGAAAATGAAGAAAAATTTCGGAGAAAAACTGAAATTTTTGCAAAAATTGAAAAAAAAATTACAAAACGAAAAAAAATTAAAATTCAACAAACTGATTGGTAAACATACAATCAACTTAGAAAAAGCGGAGAGGCGTCCTACTATTGTGTTTATCTTTAAATGGCCAAAAAATTAGGTCACAAAGCCGATAAAAAAGGCCGAACTAATTTTTGCCGAGGAATTTTTTTTTTAAGGAAATACGAAGTCAAGGTAAGTAAAATTACAAAATGTAGGCGTAAATCAAACAATAAAAAACACCATTTAAGAAAAATGCGAGCAGAAAAAAAAACAATTTCAAGATGTGACAACTAAGCCGACAACAGATAAGCTGACAAATAATTGGCCGCAAATTTCATTTGAAACAGAATAGTTCCCGTTTGAAAAAAAAAAACAGGTCCTGGTCAGAATAGAAACCAAGACCTTCACCGTCCAAGGGTTATTCTTTACCTCCAGGCTAAGTTGGCCGGTAACGCTAAGAAATTTGAATACATTATGAAACAAGGTACAGATGAGTCTAATCAAGTCCTGTGGACAAATTTATTTACGGGTTAGAAAGTCTAGTACGCGGTTCAATACCCTTGCTTATCGCAAGGGTAAAAATCTTGGAAAAAGAAAACATTTTTGAAACGGCTACCCTTTTTGGCTCCGAATTTTGAGGAATTTTGAGTTTTAGATTTTCTTTTTTTCAACGCAAACTCAGATATCATCGGAATGGGTCGAGCAATATATCGTAAAGCTCTTTCAGTCATGATTCGAACTTACAAATTTTTCTTTCAATTTTGAGAAAAATCGATATAAAATTTTCAATTTCAGTTTTAAATTAAAGCGAATGAAAGGAGCGAGTAGGACTTATGAAAGAAAATTTTTCCCTACATAATGATAAACTTAGTGTAACTACGGGAAAACTAGTGTGGGAAGCCTCGTTCAGAGCTTCTTACGCAATAAACACGTTTGTTTCAAAATATATCCTGCAAAAAAAAGACTTCTTTTTTTGAAGAGAACTGGAGACAAAAATTATGCCTACTTCCTTAACTGCCAACGCGTTCGATAAATTTCTCACCATAACACGCTCAAAAGATGACTTTTGCTTGAAAAAAAAACAGAAAAAACTTGCACAGACAGGCTATCTATTATGTAACTATTGATTTCAGTTGACGCTCAAAAAATTATTCATATGCGGGATTCTCATAGCAGTTTTTTTCCTTTTCAAGATAACATTTTCGAGGTAATGTTAACATTTTCACACATTTTTAAACTTGCGATGCATAACTTATGTGTACTTTGCCAAAAAATGTCAAGTTTTCTACTGGAATTAAACTTGATTGTTCAAAGATTTGCTTTATGCACAAAATTTTTAATTCAAACTAAACTTTTTCAGTATGCAACGTAAAAGTAAACTAAAAAATTCAGATCTGCGTTATTATGATAAAGCTGTTATTTTTTCACGTTATTTTTTTTTTCGTTCTTTCATTTACCACGAGAAAATTTCATTGATCACAAAAATTGAAGGGTTTCGACGGTTTTAGCTTTCTCTCCGCTGTAGTTAGCATTTAAACCGAAGTCTTGTTTACAGATAAAACTCAATTTTTCCCCGCAGACAAAATTGAGTACATTTCAACTGCTTCCGACTTATTTTCGACGGCTTGCATCGACATAGGTTTCGTATCATGTTGATTTCGGGATGGTGGTGAAGAGTTGATTTTGTATTGTCCTCCGATACGTTTCCGCCAATGAAAAACTAATTAAAAGACCTGATCAAATTTAATTAAATTATACATTGTTCATTTCATAATAGGACGAAACAAAAACCGATACGAAGGCCAGTAAACCAAACACAGCAGAAGATAAAAGACATAATTTATAGCACTTTAGTATTAAACAATTTGGAGATCGCGATTGATATCAGTATTTAGGATTCCCGTCAATATTTCGAGCGTTTCTTTTAAATTCTATCGCTTACGATTTCCTTTCTTCTTGCCCTTCTCCTTCGTATTGGCACTACTAGCTTGATCTTGATTCTGATTAGCTGACGCAGCAGCCGCACCTCCCCCGCCCCCAGACGGCTTCTGCGTTCTACTTTTCAGCTTCGGAATTGACTGCCCACAGAGATTTAGAATCTTCATTTTCGTGTCATATTCTGCCTTACAAAATGAACCATCTTCGTTTTTTAGTTTCACCCTTACTCTTCCTATGTGGTTTGGATCACAGTCCGGGTCTTGTGGGTACCTCTTTTTCGGTTCTAGTCTGGCTTCAAAGCCAAATTCGAGACAAATATCCCGAATTTCTTGCGCAGTAGGGTTATCCACTGAGAAATTCTTGCATGTTTTTCTACCCTGTTTGCACGTTCTTTTGCTGTTCAAATACTGAGGGTAGATAAAAATGTAGTTGCGCCTCGTTGGATCTAGGTAGTATATGTTTGTGTTATCCGATAGTGGCTCAGCTGAACTTTGGGCCATTTTGAAAATCTGAAAAGTTTCAATTTTAAATTGTTTGGCACATGACATTCACATCTTTTGTTTTCGTTCGAAGACAATTCATTTGAATTTACCGAAGACACAAACTTAACCATCAAATGACCAAAATAAGACAATTTAATCAGGTAACTACAACTTAATACTAAATTATCGATCAAATTAACTTACCAAGAATAACTAATCATTCATTCGTTTAATAGTAAAATCATTCAGTCGTCAATTCAATTAACGAATTCAATTGAAACTACCACGGATAAAAAAATGCAGCTCAGCTGATGGAGAGCAAATACAGTGGCTCCCCGCGTGGATAAAGAACTGTAAAAAGACTATAAATCTAAGTTTTCAAAACAACAATCATCAATAAAATGTCATGGTTTTTATGGTTCATACTCGTGATAATACTACTACAAACTCTCTAGAGAGTTGGGAAGTCAAACACATTTACTTTCTCTCATTGCAGAGCCCGCAACACTTTCTGGTAAACTGTGCGCCTTCATATAATGTGGTTTCAGTTTATTCTTTTCCTTCACCGAAACTTCACAAATCGAACACTTATACCTTGGACAGTTCAACGAGTGTTTCAACATGTAATGTTTCTGCATGTTGCTTTTAGAATTCGACTTGTATGGACAAAGGTCACAAAAGTGCACTTTGGAACCGTTATCAGAAGTGAATGTCGTGAAACTACCCGTTGGAACAGGAGCTTTAGCGGGACTTGTTAATGGACTTGGCATGTTGGATGTACAAACCTTGATAGATGGCCTAATTTTAATGGGAGCTCTCGGTTTGATTGGGTTCGTGTTTTGACGCTTAATCGGAATTTGCAGTTTATTATCAATGCAGACCGGTTGAACAAAGTTTGCAAAATGATCCGAAAATGTTTCGAGCGTACGAGATATCATCATCTCTGCTACTGGATCGTAGCTGGGGCCAGATACTTGAGGATTATAATTTTCCACAAACAGACGAACAAATTCAGATCTGGTTGCTAAGCAGTCCAAAAAATGCTCCTGGAAGAGGAAGTTCACGCAATAAGTTTCAGCCATTGAGATCTAAAAACCTATTGAAGTTGCTATTGACAATCAAATCTGCCACTCAGTTTTGAATTCTAGATCACGCTGATGATAAATCTACAATTTGTACTCCATTTTTGCCCTTCAACGATAAAATTAATTTAACTGACAAAAGATTTTCATTTGCCTCTTCACTAATATCTGGTTATGCTTAGTAAAAAAAAAGCTAGCTGTTTTTTTTTTTGCATTTATTAAGTCAAAAATATGGCAAAATAGGTTTGGATAGCATTTTCAAAAACCATGTCCAGTTGTCATGTACCATCTTCTTTCATAGTTTCGTGTCTATTAAACGCATTCCTCTCTCCTTTCGGAGCATTCTTCTCAAAAATCGTCTTCTTAAAATGTTTCTCCCCATAATGTTGCTTACTCTCTTCTCTTTTCAACCTCTCCTCTCGCAGTTCAGCTATACTCTTCATTGAGTCTCCTTCCTCCTGTGAACTTGAAACCCATTGCTCTAACTTGTAACCAGCGTATCCGATTGGAATCAAAATAGGTAAGAAGATAGGCCGCGCGATATTGGCCAACACTCCCGCACCACCGGGGAACAGAGACGCACCCAGACGAGCCCACCACATCAACTTCTCATTGCTTTCTGAAAGCAACGCCTCCGCTGATACAATTAGTGCTTCCTTCATAAACGTCGAAACTGTCTTCGTTCACATTAAGCTAGCTAGATATTAAAAATATAAATAATACTGAAGTTTTCCGAAGATTTTCCTTCTCAGTGTAGTTTCAACTGGCTACAAAACATAACAAGAGTAGCCAATCCATGTGCAAGTAGCATAGATTGTTTCGACAACAATTAATTTCAAAAATGAAACAAACGAAAACATTGACGAAATGTTTTCGGAATTTTCCAAAATTGGCGTTTTTTCTCAAGTGAATGAGCCTGCAGCCACTAAGCCTGCAGCCACTAAGCCCGCAGATTATAACAAATAAGCGTTTCAAGTATATTAACTAGATATTTTCTTCAAATAATTTAAGCCTCAACAACCTAGGAGCTTTCTTTGCAGGAGTAAAAAGTGACTACAAAAGTCAACGCAACACCTATCTTAGGAATAGGGCTGTGTTAATTTGGAAAAATCGGCAAAACTTTTGAATTGTTCATTTATTCGCGGAAACTATAGAGCACAAAAAACAGCCAAAAGAACGTTGAAATGGTGTTGATGCATGAATTCGAGAAAAACAAAACAAACTAGGAAAGTTTGCTAACTTCAAACAAAAATATTTCACATTGAACCTCTTTGTATTGCCAAAACCTTTCATATTTGACGTTTTTGATAAAACTAACACGATTTAGGACCAATAATTTCCGGCTGTGAATTCTCAAAATAAAACCCATCTCACTTTAAACGCAGAGGCGAAACGGAGCTTCGTACCACTTGAGATACAACCCAAACATAAAGGCGAAAAAATGAAAATGTTTGAAAAAAACTAGATCATATAAACTTTTATGTCTCGATAGAAGTTCATTCCAGGCAAATATGCCAGACAATTGAATTTTAAATCAGCAACAATGGAACAAAAATTACAAAAAGAAACAAAGCCGACAATCTTTGAGCAGACACAGGTAGAGCCAAAAAAAATGATTTTGTATAAAAAAAAGTTTCAAGTCCCACCTTAAACAACAATGGACAACACTTGCAATTGCAACTACAACGAAAGTTGTTTACAGCACAAGAAAAATCAGTGATGTGGCAACTTAACTAACAATCTGTGAGCTGCAATCACTTGAACTGAAAAAAGATTTCATGAAAATTTTTTAAAAACCTTTCAAGTCCCCCCTGAAAATAGAATGAACAACACTTGCACTTGCAACTGCAATAAAAATTGACTACAGCAAAGCAAAATCAGTTGCGACAATTTAGCCGACAAAACTTGAGCAACTTTTTTTGATACTGAAAAAAACAAGGTCCGGCCACGAATCGAACCCCAGACCTTGGATTACAAAAGCAACTGCTTTACCTCCAGGCCAAGGCGGGAGCCACCTGGAACATGTTAGGAGAAGAGAAGTGAAAAAAAGTCAGCTGCATAGTCAGCAAGTGATTCAACTGATTTTGGTTAATCTAGTTGTTAACTAGAACATATCCAACTAACAGTTGGAAAGGAGTAATGCACATAAGGAAACTAAAAAAAACTGACTTCAACTTTTGAAAGGCCTTGAAGCTCTTTGAATTTGTAGAACAATTTGAAATGGACACGTTGTTGTTAAAACTAACCCGATATGAGAAAACTGGATCAATAGGTTTTACTTTTATTTCGCTGGAAAATCTGATAATTAATTTCCATGTTCGAAATCAGAAGTCGATCACGTTTTTCGAGACCTTTACACTTTTGCTGTTCGACAGTGGAGTTTGCCTTCCTTTGAACAAATTTTAAGACTTTTTCCTGAAAACAAGTCAGCAAGACCTATATAAGAGTACTCACTACATTCATTACTCTTAAAAAAGTCTATATTCCAGTTTGATAACGCTTGCTAATCGCAAGCATAATTACGAAAATTGATGACATTAAATTTTGCCCCTCTATGCAAAAGAAATTCTTTCAATGGGAGGGAAATTCCGTGCTTTGGAATCCAGCCGACAAAAAACGAGCAGACAAAGGAAAGTCCAATAATTCAATTTTATCCAACAAAAAACCATTCGCACGCATTACAGCTATACCAAGTGCAACGAGGGATCCTCGAACTTGTTAGAGTTCAATAAAAACAAACGCTCAATTTCTAACAAATTGGGAAGAAATGTAACAGGAAGTCTATCAGCAATTTAATGAACACATAACTTTTTGCTAGGATTTTTCAAGTATTAGTTTGACACTAAGCATCAATCAGTCCTTTTCGCATCATTTGCATTTACGTCGTCATTACACAGCTCAATCTGCCTTCCAATTAGCTAACATAGCCAACAGATAAATGGAAAAGAGTCAGTGAACGCAAGGCAACATTAAAAAAACAGTAAATTGTTGAACAATCACCTTTCGAATTTCAAAGTAAAAAAATATGGCCTTAAAGCTCATTCAATTTCAAGAACCATTCAAGATTGACACTTTTTTGATATACTTCGTCCAATTTGAGAAAAATTGATCAATAATTAAAACTTATATTCCGTTGGGACAACTGAAAATTTAAACCAAGTTTGAAATTAGAGGTAGATCACGTTTTTCGCGACCTTTACACTTTTAATGTTCAAGAATGGAATTTTTTTTTTTTCACAAAGAAAATGAATTGAATGAACTTAAATCATCGACTCTTATTTCAAAAAAAATCAATACGAACACATCTTTAAGTATCACCACGTTCATTGATTCTTAAAAACCAAAATTTCAACGGTCTAAGTGAAAGAAAAACTACTGATTTCATTAACAAATAAGCCAGACAATTGAATTTTAAATCAGCAACAATGGAACAAAAATTACAAAAAGAAACAAAGCCGACAATCTTTGAGCAGACACAGGTAGAGCCAAAAAAATGATTTTGTATAAAAAAAAGTTTCAAGTCCCACCTTAAACAACAATGGACAACACTTGCAATTGCAGCTACAACGAAAGTTGTTTACAGCACAAGAAAAATCAGTGATGTGGCAACTTAACTAACAATCTGTGAGCTGCAATCACTTGAACTGAAAAAAGATTTTATGAAAATTTTTTAAAAACCTTTCAAGTCCCCCCTGAAAATAGAATGAACAACACTTGCACTTGCAACTGCAATAAAAATTGACTACAGCAAAGCAAAATCAGTTGCGACAATTTAGCCGACAAAACTTGAGCAACTTTTTTTGATACTGAAAAAAACAAGGTCCGGCCACGAATCGAACCCCAGACCTTGGATTACAAAAGCAACTGCTTTACCTCCAGGCCAAGGCGGGAGCCACCTGGAACATGTTAGGAGAAGAGAAGTGAAAAAAAGTCAGCTGCATAGTCAGCAAGTGATTCAACTGATTTTGGTTAATCTAGTTGTTAACTAGAACATATCCAACTAACAGTTGGAAAGGAGTAATGCACATAAGGAAACTAAAAAAAACTGACTTCAACTTTTGAAAGGCCTTGAAGCTTTTTGAATTTGTAGAACAATTTGAAATGGACACGTTGTTGTTAAAACTAACCCGATATGAGAAAACTGGATCAATAGGTTTTACTTTTATTTCGCTGGAAAATCTGATAATTAATTTCCATGTTCGAAATCAGAAGTCGATCACGTTTTTCGAGACCTTTACACTTTTGCTGTTCGACAGTGGAGTTTGCCTTCCTTTGAACAAATTTTAAGACTTTTTCCTGAAAACAAGTCAGCAAGACCTATATAAGAGTACTCACTACATTCATTACTCTTAAAAAAGTCTATATTCCAGTTTGATAACGCTTGCTAATCGCAAGCATAATTACGAAAATTGATGACATTAAATTTTGCCCCTCTATGCAAAAGAAATTCTTTCAATGAGAGGGAAATTCCGTGCTTTGGAATCCAGCCGACAAAAAACGAGCAGACAAAGGAAAGTCCAATAATTCAATTTTATCCAACAAAAAACCATTCGCACGCATTACAGCTATACCAAGTGCAACGAGGGATCCTCGAACTTGTTAGAGTTCAATAAAAACAAACGCTCAATTTCTAACAAATTGGGAAGAAATGTAACAGGAAGTCTATCAGCAATTTAATGAACACATAACTTTTTGCTAGGATTTTTCAAGTATTAGTTTGACACTAAGCATCAATCACTCCTTTTCGCATCATTTGCATTTACGTCGTCATTACACAGCTCAATCTGCCTTCCAATTAGCTAACATAGCCAACAGATAAATGGAAAAGAGTCAGTGAACGCAAGGCAACATTAAAAAAACAGTAAATTGTTGAACAATCACCTTTCGAATTTCAAAGTAAAAAAATATGGCCTTAAAGCTCATTCAATTTCAAGAACCATTCAAGATTGACACTTTTTTGATATACTTCGTCCAATTTGAGAAAAATTGATCAATAATTAAAACTTATATTCCGTTGGGACAACTGAAAATTTAAACCAAGTTTGAAATTAGAGGTAGATCACGTTTTTCGCGACCTTTACACTTTTAATGTTCAAGAATGGAATTTTCTTTTTTTTTTCACAAAGAAAATGAACTGAATGAACTTAAATCATCGACTCTTATTTCAAAAAAAATCAATACGAACACATCTTTAAGTATCACCACGTTCATTGATTCTTAAAAACCAAAATTTCAACGGTCTAAGTGAAAGAAAAACTACTGGTTTCATTAACAAATAAGCCAGACAATTGAATTTTAAATCAGCAACAATGGAACAAAAATTACAAAAAGAAACAAAGCCGACAATCTTTGAGCAGACACAGGTAGAGCCAAAAAAATGATTTTGTATAAAAAAAAGTTTCAAGTCCCACCTTAAACAACAATGGACAACACTTGCAATTGCAACTACAACGAAAGTTGTTTACAGCACAAGAAAAATCAGTGATGTGGCAACTTAACTAACAATCTGTGAGCTGCAATCACTTGAACTGAAAAAAGATTTTATGAAAATTTTTTGAAAACCTTTCAAGTCCCCCCTGAAAATAGAATGAACAACACTTGCACTTGCAACTGCAATAAAAATTGACTACAGCAAAGCAAAATCAGTTGCGACAATTTAGCCGACAAAACTTGAGCAACTTTTTTTGATACTGAAAAAAACAAGGTCCGGCCACGAATCGAACCCCAGACCTTGGATTACAAAAGCAACTGCTTTACCTCCAGGCCAAGGCGGGAGCCACCTGGAACATGTTAGGAGAAGAGAAGTGAAAAAAAGTCAGCTGCATAGTCAGCAAGTGATTCAACTGATTTTGGTTAATCTAGTTGTTAACTAGAACATATCCAACTAACAGTTGGAAAGGAGTAATGCACATAAGGAAACTAAAAAAAACTGACTTCAACTTTTGAAAGGCCTTGAAGCTCTTTGAATTTGTAGAACAATTTGAAATGGACACGTTGTTGTTAAAACTAACCCGATATGAGAAAACTGGATCAATAGGTTTTACTTTTATTTCGCTGGAAAATCTGATAATTAATTTCCATGTTCGAAATCAGAAGTCGATCACGTTTTTCGAGACCTTTACACTTTTGCTGTTCGACAGTGGAGTTTGCCTTCCTTTGAACAAATTTTAAGACTTTTTCCTGAAAACAAGTCAGCAAGACCTATATAAGAGTACTCACTACATTCATTACTCTTAAAAAAGTCTATATTCCAGTTTGATAACGCTTGCTAATCGCAAGCATAATTACGAAAATTGATGACATTAAATTTTGCCCCTCTATGCAAAAGAAATTCTTTCAATGAGAGGGAAATTCCGTGCTTTGGAATCCAGCCGACAAAAAACGAGCAGACAAAGGAAAGTCCAATAATTCAATTTTATCCAACAAAAAACCATTCGCACGCATTACAGCTATACCAAGTGCAACGAGGGATCCTCGAACTTGTTAGAGTTCAATAAAAACAAACGCTCAATTTCTAACAAATTGGGAAGAAATGTAACAGGAAGTCTATCAGCAATTTAATGAACACATAACTTTTTGCTAGGATTTTTCAAGTATTAGTTTGACACTAAGCATCAATCACTCCTTTTCGCATCATTTGCATCAATCTGCCTTCCAATTAGCTAACATAGCCAACAGATAAATGGAAAAGAGTCAGTGAACGCAAGGCAACATTAAAAAAACAGTAAATTGTTGAACAATCACCTTTCGAATTTCAAAGTAAAAAAATATGGCCTTAAAGCTCATTCAATTTCAAGAACCATTCAAGATTGACACTTTTTTGATATACTTCGTCCAATTTGAGAAAAATTGATCAATAATTAAAACTTATATTCCATTGGGACAACTGAAAATTTAAACCAAGTTTGAAATTAGAGGTAGATCACGTTTTTCGCGACCTTTACACTTTTAATGTTCAAGAATGGAATTTTCTTTTTTTTTCACAAAGAAAATGAACAGAATGAACTTAAATCATCGACTCTTATTTCAAAAAAAATCAATACGAACACATCTTTAAGTATCACCACGTTCATTGATTCTTAAAAACCAAAATTTCAACGGTCTAAGTGAAAGAAAAACTACTGGTTTCATTAACAATTGAATTATTCTAACATATAGAAGAGAAGGAAGATCTTTTTAACAAGCTCCCTATGGCACCTAGAAACAATTAGAAGCGTTTATCAACCCCCTGTAAAGGACTAATTGAATAGTTGAGCCAATTGGTGAAAAGTAACGGTAACGAATCCGCTCCCTTCTTTGTAACCGGGAGGGGGTGAGTTAAAGATATCGAAGAAGAAGAAGTAGCACCATCAGTCATACTGTTACCAAAAAATCACAGATTCTTGATATGACGTCGCACATGTGAAGTCTTAATCTGGTTCAACGCATCTTCCAACACACTACACATGTGAACTAAATTACTCGGATCCGTCTGCAACATTACGTCATTATTACGCAACGGCTCAAGTATTTGTTCAGCCTCCTCGTCGGCTGAACAATCTTCAGTTCTGTTTAGTTTTTTCACACAAACTTCGGGCGGTGAGTCAAGGTGGAGTTTCATCATCACTTGAGGTTCCATCTGTTCCAGACAAGTTCTGGATGCTACTTTTACATCCAGTCTCCATTCTACACTCTTGTAGTGAGGGAGGCAGTCTGAGTTCTGCAAGATCACTTTGAGCGTCTCGGCGTAGTTTCTAAGCAAACATTTACCCAAATATTTAAACAGGCCAAGCAGAACCTCCTTCGCACACGCACCACAAACCAAGAAAGCCGCTAAGTCGAAAAAAAAACTCGAAAACGTCGAAAAACTGGTCTATCAAAATGACTAAAGCTAGTTTTGAAACAAAAACATGCCAGGACAAACAATGTGAAAGTAGCATCAGATGAAAACTTACCAAGCAGTAACACAGCCGAAAATAGCGTAACAGAAACCCTTTAAGCTGAATTTTTTTTTCGCTCGTCCAATATTACAAAATATTGTTAACTCCCCCTAATCATCAAAACACACACATAAATGCACACAAAAACTTTTTCGTTCGTCGAACGATACAATATGAGGCCACTACACCGATATAATTCAGACCGGTAGGGACTAAATGGGAAAGAGCTAATGAACGCATGTAAATAGGAAAAAACTGACTTGTTTTTCGAAAAATTCATTTGATTTTTTTGATAAAATTAACCCAATTTGAAAAAAAACTGGATCAATAAGTAAAACATTCATTTCGCTGGGATTTCCAAAAAAATCAATTTTTGAAACTAGAAGTCGATCACGTTTTTAGTGACCTTTACACTTTTACTGTTGGCTAGTGGAGTTTTTCTTCCTTTTAATCAAGGAAATGAACTGAACTTAAAAAAATCAAAAGTCAAATAGCGAAAAAGTAAATTTGCACCTGAAAAAATTTCAAGATTTTCCCTGAAAAAACAAAAACGAAAAACAAAATCATCGCGACCTATATACGAGTCGAACCGATCCGCACTAAATCAGATACTCACTTGTATATATCGAATATAGAGGTAGCTTCCTCGAGCGAGAGATCATTCAGCGCACATATCTCAGAGAACAGTGTGAAGTCAGAGGTCACTTTGGAGCCAATCGCCTTGTCATAGACTGCAATCACTTTCCTCAAATTTGTCTCCACCCATTCGGGAGTTTGGGACACTGTTTCTGCTGTTGACTTTATCGCTTTTGGAGTCCACCCTTTGATCAAAATAGCCACCGCCGCTTCCGCGATTACATTCATTTCTTAAATATATATATATAATATATTTATAAAAATTAGCCAACAGACAATTGGGAAAGTGTAAATGAACCCAAAAAAAAAACAAAAAAAAACGAAAATAATTTTGAAAATTAAAAAAAAAAATACGGCCTTAAAACTCGAAACTATCGATTTTCAAAAATAATTAACGATCAACTCTTTCAACATAAAACTAAACCAAGTAAACAAGTTGGATCAAGAGAAAAATTTTATTCTGCAAGAAAAACGAAAAATTTAAGACTACCTTCGTAACTTTTAGGCCATCAACATTTTTGCGCCAATTGCATTTTTATATTGGAGAGCACAAAAGCGCAATCTGCCTTCCTTTTACTAAATGATTTTGAACTGATTTTTTATCAGAAAATGATAATCAAACTTCGAAAAACCAATTTTGAACGAACATTTTCTAAGACTTTAACTGGAAAACTGAAACAGAACAAAAAAAAACAGACGAACTTTCCAAGTGTCGTCAATAGGTTCATTGACACTTAAGCATATGATTAGTTAGCTCGAAGAAGAACCAGATCAGGATCATTAGTTTAAAAACGGTAAAAACTGAATAAAATTTGTTAAATGCACCTGATAAACAATAAATTAAGAAACAATCATTAAAGAATAAACTGAGCAAATTTCAGCTTAAAGAAAAAACTTTGACGGTCGAATCTTCGCCGCAAGTCACAAAAAATGAGTCATCAGAAGCCAGTGCTATGTCAAAAACTGGACCTTCGTGACCTCTAAATGACCTCAACACAGTTCCGGTCAGAGCGTCAAAACAAAACACAATTCCTGCAGACGTCGTTGCCAAACACATCGGCTCTTTGCTCATTCGGGGAAACAACATCTTGATGATAGCACCTCTCAACTGTTCTACGTTTCTAATACATTTTGCAGTGATGTCCCATGTTTCGATGCGGCCCGTGTTTCGGCCGAGACAGAGGAGGTTGGGGTTCGAAGGACAGAGAGCGAAGGTCTCCACTTCAGGCATGGCAGATTCAGGCGTCTGATTCATTTCAGTGTCTAGGCAAAACGAAAACGCTAATGAACAATTGATCTCATCTGACCGCAAAAATTGGCACACATTTTTGTTATTCAATGCCAAAATTTTATTGATCAAGTTTTAATTTTTGTTGCTCAGTATAAATGATAGATGACACTAGACTCCGCTAAAGCAATAAACTTATAGACACTACTTATCGAAACACTACTTTATGCGCACTATTCCTCTCGTGCCGAATATAAGCGCAGCGGAGCAAGCGTATTCTACTTGCAATGCCTTGTTACAAATTGTCGCCTGTTACGAATTGTCGCCTGTTACGAAAAAGTGGCACCAATATTTGCGACTTGTTGGAAAAAAAAGAAGAATAGTCGTACTATAACATTACCTCACTAAAGTTCGCAAGTATAAAAACAAAATGTGCGACATCAAACCCTATGAAAAAACAAACTCTGACCGAACGCCAAATTTTACCATAATCCGTATTCCTAAAATGGCTTTTCCGATGTGGATATATGGTCTGAACTATGAATCACCTGCACTGAAATGTCCATATTTTGCCAGTATCTTTCCAGTCTTGATGTTGACCAGACAAACCGCCTCAGTTGTACATGCCAGGTACTGCTGCTCCTTGTGAAGTTCTATCTTGGACACTGGCATGTCTATGTCTTGTGTGAGTTTTGTAGACGAGATCACTGAGCAGGACTTGAGGTTCCAACACTTGACCGAACTGTCGTGGTATCCCACAATCACATCTGCAAACCAAGCATCATTAACAATTAATTGCGAAGTGCAATTCAGAGAGCTTTAAAATCAATTCTACCAATTCTAAGAATACATTTTCTTTAACTAAAAAGGACTCTTTTTCCTCCCCCCCCCCCTCACAAGGGCGTCAATTTTATGGTCTGAAGAGTGGTTTTACAAGTTTATTTATGAGGACCAAATATGTTTTTCTTGGCCTAATTCGTCTGCATGTCAATTTTCATTACAATCGGAGTGTCAACAGCAATTTTAATTATGAAAATTTGCAGGTTATGGAAAAAGAAAAAAGAGCCCTAAAAGGTACCTAAGGAGCTTTAAGAAAAAAAGAACGCAATGCAACTACTTTTTCTATAAATTAAGCCTTTTTTTAAGTTACGATTACACATAGGAATTTGGAAAATGACAACTCTTCAACTAGCCACAATTCAATTTGAACTTTGATTAAATAGCATCGAAAAACATGCTCATGCTATAATATTTCGTTTTTTTGCGAGGCGTGATAAAAGGGTCAGAACCATAAACTAGATTTGAGGCATTTTCGACAATCATGATAGACAGGGGCAAAGCTGCGCTCCGCGAATACTTGCGAGAACACAGCCAAAAGGCAGCTCTATCAAGTGAAATAAGAAAAAGTAGAAATAAGCCTCGAATAATTCGACAACGAGAAGATTCGAATCTGCGACCAACTGCAATCAAGAGATTTTGAGTCTCACGCACTATCCACTCAGCCACGCAAGCTTAACAAACGACAAACACTAGTCTCGATTAAAGCAGCTACAAATGATAATAAATTGCCAATGCCATTCAGTAAAAGTGGCACCAAATATAAATAGACTCAATTTTGCAAGTAATAATTTGGAATATAACAAACTGAAGGCATCCACACTAACTTTGCATGCAAAAAATCGCAAGTCATAAAGCCACATTATGTAAAAAAAACATGCATTTCAAAAAAATGCGATATATTGAGTTAGAAAATTTCTGAACTAGTTATGATTTTTATATTGTTTGAAACAATTAACTTTTTTCGGTTCATTTGATAAATTAAAAAGTTAAATTTTCATGGCTTATATTTAGCAAAATAAGCTAATGTAAGCTTGCTCATTCGCTCGAAATCAGACGAAAAATCAAAAATTTCAAACCGTTTTGTTTTCAACACTCGGCAATATTTTAACATTGCTTGAAACACGACTTGAAGGGCTTCAATATGACATATCACTCGACCCAGTCCGATGATTATTTGTGGTACCTGATTTTGAGCGGAAAAAAATTGAAAAAAAAAAACAAAACGAAAACACACCCGAATACAAAGTTACTCTCCATTTTCAATGGTCGGAATAACTAGTTACTAACACGATATTTGTTGGATTTATCACGGTAGCCCTGCAGTTAAAAACGCTTTTCGAAGCTATTTAATTGAAGTTTCTGAAACAAAATACGGAATAAGTATAACAAATATATCAATTATGAAATTACCAAGGCCATTTTCTGTAATTTTTGCAGCCGACACTTCAAAACCAGCGCCAGAGTAACACTTGAGCTCTTCAGTTCCCACTTTCAGCATAAACAGATCTCCATTTCCGAGTCCAGCGAAGACTACTTTTGCCACTGGGTGCCAGAACACCAGGTTCAGATCCATGCCACACTCGTAGCTCCAGAGGCGCTCCTTGGAATCGGATTCTGTTGAGAAGACCTGGATAACACCTATAATAGAAATTTAAATTAACCAGGAAAAATAAAGATTAAGATCAATGTGCGTGTTTTTTTGCTTCCGAACGCCATGTCTTTGATACTCTCTCGAATTATTACATTCGGATCGTTCACTTCTCTAAACCTTTATGTCTTTTGTAAAATTGACAAGTGAAGGTCTATAACAAACGTTTGCCTGTGTAAGAGAAGGATTGTGATAGTTCATAACTTAATAACAGAGTAACTTTAAAGCAAACACTATTTTCTCATTTGCTTGATTGTGACCTCTTTCATATTATAAATAAAGCAAAAATTAAGACCAAAACACTTCCACGCAAAAAAAATAACAAGGAAACTAGGACTATTACAGAGTTTTTAACTTATAAAACATTGAAGTATCTTTACCTCAATAATCAGCATGGGCGGATTTTGGAGGGGGCTGCAGACGCTTCACCCCTTCCTCGGGGATTCGATCCCCTGCCGAGCCAAAGGTTCCCCCCTTTGTACTATTCTAAGATATCTTTTTTTGGCTGACGGACCCTAAATTTGTTCTGAAGGCGTCTTTGGCGCCAATATATAAAATTGAAGGGGAAGCGCGCGCCGAAAAACGCAATTTTTTGGTCTAAATTTTCCTAAAAAAGCCTTTTTTTTTCAGAATTTTGCCTTCATCTTTCAAATGCTTTGGGAAAGCTCGAAAAATCAATTTGATCGACTAAACTTTCGACAACTTTTTGAAAATGCGCCCCTTGATGACCAGTATTAATGACCCAGTTCTAGAATAGACTCGATTTCTATCATGGTTCTGAGGCCAATTTTCTTCAAACAAATAAACAAACTTTTCTCACCCAGCATGTCAGCTGTGGCTAGGTATGGCTCTTGAGGGTGGAACGCGACCGACACTATTGTGTCGTTATGGCCCTCAATCATGGCCAGTTGAGTGTCACTCTTCGAGTCCCAAACAAACGCACGCTCGTCTTGGGATCCAGTCACCACCACGCCAGTGTCTTTGTACTAAACACACTTGATTGCAGCCGGTGTTTTTGATTTCTGCTCAGGTAGCACAAAACTTTCCGTCGAACTTCTTTACCAAAACCTTTTCAGTGCCGAACAAAGAAAGCTCAAATTCATTATATAACTATGAAAAATGAGTATATCATAAAATTGCATCAGAACAAAGCACAATGTAGTAAGAATGGCCAGTTTCTATACAAGCACAGTCAAAACAGAATTTTATTTGAACAATTCAAAAAACTTTTATAGAAATATTTTTGATTTGTCGAATTTTTTTATTAACATGTTTATATGGCGAGGCAGGCTGATTAATCTACTGAGCATTTGTCTTTTCGCCTAATTGAATTTGCGTGACCGCGTATTTCATTTATTTGTTTTTGGGTATCGCACGACCCCATTTGGCGTTTCTTGTTTGGAACACTGAAAGTATTCAAGCGTGTTTTAGTTTTAGTTCCAACAATTAAAGTGGGGAGGAACATTGTATTCAGGTGTATTTTAGCTCGCTTCCATTTTTGTTTTCCGCGCAAAATCAGGTACCGCAAATAGTTTTCTCAATGGGTCTAGTACTATTAAAATGAAGCTCTTTCAGTCGTTATTTCTTTTTCAAATTTTTTTGGTCTTCACTCAATTTTTAAAGAATAATATTGTAGATTATGTCTAAATCACTAACTTTCTACGCTTTGCATATATCTGCAACCCCACCACGCACCAAGACGACACTAATTCAAAAAAGAAGAAACCTTTTCGTAGTTTTTTATGAATGTGGTCGGAAAACTCTAGGCTTCTTGCACAGCAACCTGCTATCCTTGTTTTTCTTTTTTTTTCCACGCAAAGTCAAGAACCAAAAATAATCGCCGGAAGGGGTCGAGTAATATATCATTAAAAATCTCTTGAAGCCGTAATTCGAGCCCAACTAAAATTTTCCAGAAAGTTACTGTCGCGAGAAAAACCAATTTAAATTTTTTTAATCTTTAGTCGGGGTTAGTCCAATTTCGAGCAAATAAAGCGAGCGGGCAGGCTTAATATGGGCTAAAATAGGCCTCTAGTAAAACTGATAAATTAGTTAAGTAGTGAAAACCTAGTTTTACTCCAGTAAAGTAAGTGTTCGAAAACTCAATAGCCCTCTTGGATTTAAAATAGAAATCGAAAATTTCAAAACATTTTTCAATTCATTTCACGACAAAGTTGTTTTGAGGTACCTAAATTACTATTTCTATCGAAATTTTCGGATTTGATTCAGATCCTTGTATCACTTCAAGAACAACAAATAACGCAAAATTTAGAAAAAAAAAACATTTGTTAAATTTTTTATTGTGCTCGAAAATTTCTGTGCCAATTGCATAGAGATCGGCTATCCTTGTTGTTCCGACCTTTTGAAAAATGTGGAGGAACTTTGTTTTCGGACATATTTTAGTTTTCAATTCATTTTTTTTCACGCGCAAAATCAGTTACTACAAATAATCATCGGAATGGGTCGAGTTGTATATCATTTTGCAGCCCTTTCAGTCTGCAAAATTTCAGTCTTTTAATAATTCGAACGATATTAAACAATTTAAAAAAATATATTCTGAGCAGAGACATTAGTTCAGTGTGCAGGCTTACAACAGTGACTTGCAAACATATGTAAGCTCGACTTCAGCCGTGGAAACTTAGTTTTACTCGAGTAAATTTGGTTTTTGGAGTTTTTAACTCCATTTTGGAATTTTTATTTAACTTTCCAGTATTTTTCTACTAAAACTGTTTTCCAAATAGCCTACTTAAATATGACTGTTGAACAAGCCTAACTTCATTTTGTTCGTTCAGATCTTTTTATCACACCACACAGAAAAAAAACGACACATGAAAAAAAATTTAGAATGGCGGGAACATTCTGTGCTATTTGCACAGTAACCGGCAATCCTTATTTATGGCATGACTTTGGTTTAAGGAAAAAAAACTGATTCCAAAGTTCCTTGCTTTTTAATTGTAGGAACAAAAAAGTGACTGTTAGTATGCGTTAAAAAATTAAAATGTACAATATTGTTATATATCAACTACCTTCACATTTTTTTCAGGAAATTTCTTGAGTCTCGCCTTGTGATCTTGTGTTACACTTACCAAGTCTAAACAGTAGACTGGCTCCTTGTGGGCTGTGAACTCGCTAACATAGTCCTCCATCTCCAGACCCTCATCTAGATCAGTCTCCCAGTCCCCATCTTCGCCATCTTCTTCCTTACCATTATCATCTTCATCATCTAGCTCGTGCACTTCAAAGCGACTGTCGTTCTCGTGGTCGCCCCCGTCCATCAACACAGTCTGAAGACCAATACAGTTCAGACTCACAACTCGAAGTGATGTAGTAAGCGAAGTGGTCAAAATGCGTCCACATGTCAATACTCATTGAAAACGTAAAAAATCGTTTCATTAGCTAAACTTTCAGTTAAGAAATGAGAGGCAGAGAAAAAGCACGTTTTTGATAAAAAATTAACAAAATTTGAACTTTTCCCTGACATTCAAAAAAATCATCACGGCCTATATAAGAGTCTGAACTACGTTCGTTCATCGACTCAAAAAACAGACCAGGAAAGCACTTTGAACACGGAGTTGAAGCGGAGCGATACAATTGTGATACAACACATTGTGAGGTAGTAGATCAAAAATGATACGAAAACCACCATGTCGAAGGAAGAATTTTCTACAAAATCGACAACCATATTTACAAAAACTGTTTAGTGAGCGGGAATTAGAGCCTATATTAAAAAGTCATTAATAATGATTTTGAAGATTTTACGCATTTTTCTTCTTTTGAAACACACAAAAGCATAACACAATCTCAAGGTTATATCAATTAATCAAAAAAAATAGTTTTTAAACAAGATAGTTGGTACTTTACGAAATTACAAAGATGCTTAAAATAGAAGAAAAATGATGATTTGAAGAAAAAAATCATGCCTCGGAAAATAGACTAACAAAAGCCTACAAAAAATAGTCGGACATTTCAAGTTTTCTCAAGAAAAAAAAAACAATTTCCACTACCGAAGAAAAGCAAGGCTCGGCCGAGACTCGAACCGTAAATCTATGTGGCGAAAGCGCGTGTTATACATCTAGACTGAGTAAGAATGGGCATGAAAAAGTTTGTTCATCATCAAAACTTTAAGACTTTTCCTGACAAAAAAAACAGGAATTACGTGAGTAAATTCACGTCGTACAAATCTATCCGAAGAAAATATCTATCCATTTTTTGAAGCAAAAAAAGCTCAAAAACCAAATCATCAAATCGAGAAATTGAGCTCAAGTCTAAGTTATCATTTCCTACCTCGAGTCTAATTGATTTTTCTTGACACCAAGAAATTTTACAAATCTTCTTTTTTAAAGTCTCACCCATGGCTTTTCATTTCAAAAACTTGAAATGACTACAAAAACAAACATAGACTAATAAAATTATCAATTCGTTTTGATTTAGAAACGAGTCAAAACTTAACTCTCCGTTGATTATGTACAGAAAGATATGTCAAACATCAGCATTGCTTCAATCTTGTTTTAAAATCATCGCCAAACTCTTTTTCGAAAAGACTTCGACTTTGTTCACAAACATGAAACACTTCTTCTGGTTGCCACATGCTCATTTTACCTCCTTCCACACACTTTTCTAGCCACTCGATATGCACGACATCGCAAATATCAGCCTTGATCAAATTCTTAACTCGAATGTTAACTTTGTCTGTCAGAACGCAAAATGTCTCTTTGTTTGCATTCTGGACTATTTTGCCACCATTTGACACAATCGAAGTTTCGAATTCTTTTCTCGTTCTGTCCTCGGGTACTGACATTACACAAAACTGTCTGTCTTCGAAAAGTGACGACTTCACTCTGATTTTTGACAAATCTGTTGCTCTAAATCGATCATCGATCGTTATCGGCTGATTTATTTTCCGTGTGACAACTCTCTGTTTTTTCTTAGGCGGCGGCATCGAATCTCCAGTTGAGAGCTTAGTAGCAAGTTTTCCCTGATATGTATTCCACAAATCCTTCAATTCTCCTTCGGTCAAAATACTCGAGTAATCTTTATCATCTCTGATCGATTCCAGTCTTGGAAATCTCAACGTGAAACCGCAATGGTACTTCTCTGAAACGATCAACTCCGCAGCTCGAACACAGACCACAACTGAGTCCTCTGGTTTGACCCAAACTTGCGCTTTCTCATTCGAACATCGAATGTTTTCTGGTTTAACTTTCGTCCAATTCGGGTCCAGCTTTTCCAGCATTGACTTCAGCTCCAAAGCTGTATAGCCAGATCCAATCTTTGCAAACGTGTAGTAATTTCTGTCAGTTTTTGATATCGAATTGTCTGAAACAGCGAGTAGAAAATGTGAAATTATATTCGATCGTCTACCCGACCCGTAGTAGCCTCCTACAATTACAAGGTCAAGGTCACTCATCACATTCTGCTCGTAGTCCGGTTTGATTTTGAACCAGCCAGAGTCTTTCCGCTTGTCTGGCTTGTAAATCGAGTCCGGATGTTTCACAATAATTCCCTCTTCTCGATTTTCTATGGCTGAATTTAAAGCGTTCAAAACATCATCTTGTGTCGAAATTAAGCTCTGTTCGACGTAGCGAATGCGCTCGCTACTTGGCACGAAAATGTCTAAAACAACACATTTGAATCATCATTCAAGCAAAAAAGTTGGGAACACGGAGAACTCAATAAACTTGTGGCTCTTTAAACAAAAGAAAAATCAAAACTGAGAATTTGCCGAACAACTTTCCGTTTATTGGCGCCAAGCGATTTACCTTTCAGGAGATTTAGTCTTTCGTGAAGTGGCTTTGCCGACAGGACTTTTTGGTTCAACAGTAGAATATCAAACACAACGTAACACTGTACCAATCCATTTTTCGGGTCATCAGCTAATCGGAGACCGTCTTTGGGTTGATTCAAAGTTGCACCAGAATGGCGAAGTTGCTGCTTCGAATTCGAGCTCGTTGTTTCATTGCTTTGTGAAGCTTCTTTCGTACTGGGAAGCTTTTTCACATCCACGTTTTGGCCTTAAATAACAAAGAGTCAAAAAATTTTCTCCCAGAAATTGACGCGAAGACAAGTCTACAAAACGTTTTTTTTTACGTTGAAACAAATCAGCACTTTTTAACGACAAAAAATGGCGAATATACAAGCTTCCACTTAAAACAAAAATACCGATACTATGGGATTCGAACTCATATCCCTAGCCCAAGAGTTAATTTCCTTTATCATTTAAGCCGTTGCATTTTGCTTAATCAACTTTTACGCATTCTATATTCAGGCAGCAAGGAATGCGCTTGAATATAGCCAGATCATACCGTGTGATTATCGCAAAAACTTCAAAAAACTTTGACCTTAAAATGTTTGACTTGCTTTGGGAAAAGAAAGTGTACTGATTGCGTAACACAAGGCTCGCATGTGTAAACATAAAAAGTTTGAAAAACATGTTTCCTTCTTAAAAAAATGATGTCAAATTAATTAAAGAGCCTATCCGAAAATAAAGGAGGTTTTTGAACAAAAAAAATCGGAGAAAATAAAAAAAGCAAACCAATGGGCTCACTAAAATTGTACACACATCACACTATAAATTCACTAGCAAAATGCAATTAAGCAGCAATATAGATAAAATTTTAAAAAGCGTTCATATCAGTATATATACACAGGGGAGAAGTAGCAGAAAAAAATTTCAATTATTCAAATGCTATTCAAAAAATCATTAACAAGAAAAACTGAATGGAAAGACAGCGACAACATCCAAAAAACCAATTCACAGATATTTACTTATTTAGTTTAGCACACACATGAGCAGCATCGGCATTTCAAGCTCCAGGTACAAGTTCAATGCAGCTTGTATACGGTTCTGAAGTGTTCTGGAAGAAAGATTCTCACCACACGTGTGAAAATTGATGCCATGTTTATTAGGTTGACGTTGAATAGTTGGATAAAATCGTGCAAACGATCAATAACTGAAAAAAGTTGGTTGCGCACGAACCGATGTTTCAAACAAAAAATTGGCGTGCTCCGAAGCTTTTTCTTCGATGTATGCAGTTGAGGCCTAATGTATGCAGTTGAGGCCTAAAATGAATGTGGTAAAAAACCAGATATCTAATGATATGGGTTGATAGGAAATTGACAAAGAATTCGAACATTCTTAGAGAGCATAAAAAGATATCCAGCCATGCGCCCATCCAAGTCCCTGGTAAATAGGGAGCAAACACTGGGAAACCAAGCTGGATACCCATTTAAAGCTATAGAAAGAATGCAAGTTTTGGAAAAATTGAATTTCACTCTAGAAATGACAACTCTTGGGATGCTATGTCGCAGGTAGTTGAAAATTAATTCAGTTTTTGATAAGTTTTTGTTAATTTGTTCTTCCACTTTAAATTGGTGTGCAATTTTAGCCCAAGATCAATACAATCCTTTGTAATTTCACAGCTCCCATCAAACAAGTCTTTCTTCAAGTCTTCAGAAGCATTCAATAAAGAAAACAACACTTCTATCTTTTTGAACTCACTTGATTGTCAGAAGCCTAGATTTTTACATCTTAATTGTCTTGCAAGATCCGATTTAAATCAGATCTTGTTGCTTCAAAGTTCGTGTCATCGGTATAACAGTAGCAGCTAGAAAAATCCGGTGTGCCAAGCATATCGTCTATGAAAATGAGAAACGTAAGACAAAAGATCGGTTAAATCTTTATCAAATCCAAACAACACAGAGGAGAAGCTTCGCATGGCAAATAAAAGCAAAAACACGACAAAAAGCCACTTTATGAAAAGCAATAAGATATACAAATAAGCCTTGAGTTAGTAAAAATTCGGCTTCGTCTGAGATTCGAACCTGCGATCTAGAGATTAAGAATCTCCTAAACTGCCAGAGACACTCAATAGGCACCAAACACTAGCCACAAATATAACAGAGAACAGATGCTATGCAATTTCTAATTGCGAGTTAGGTTAGAAAAAAAAGGTTCGATATAATACACTAAGCTGAGGGCTAGTTTAATTAGTTTATAGAGCAGAGAATGATCAACTGCTTCCAAATTTTGCCGAAATCTAGATAAACCAGAGCAACCTCATAACTTCAATCTATAGTTTGTTAGATTTTATTTAAAAAGATAATATCATTACGCGATTAATAAATACGTGATGTTCAACTGACCTTATTATTGAGAAACTACTTTTGAATACATTTGGTTTTGCTTACAAAACTAGATTCACGCGCATCAACATGGTTTCCGTTAAGCAAAACCAAATTTATTCAGAAAGTAGTTTCTCATTAATAAGATCAGTTTGGAACCCAGAGATAATGCACGATAACTTTCAATAATTCCTTTTGATCCATATTTGTATACTGGCGTTTTAGGAGCGCATTTCCATATTTCAGGCCAGTTTTTAATGATAAGTACGTGATGAAATAAAGAGAAAAGTAGTATATATAATTACGTTTTCCAAACTTTTAAAGAAATGTCAAAAAGTGGTCGAGCCGTAGAGAAAGAATGGGAACAAGACAATAACAAATACATTCTTGTTGGCATTATCTTCACTGCAATCAAAACGAACGAAAAAGTCATGGACAATAAAAATAAAAAATGAAAAAGAAAAACCATAATCATTATCTGAGGACAACTCAGTCAAACGTCAAAACAAACTCAAGAGGCCGGATAGCAAACAAAAACAACCACTACAACCTTACAGTGACCTATTTTCACTTGTAACAAAAGTAAAGATAATTCTGATTTGATAGCGTTTGCTATTCGTTAGCGTAAAACTAGCAGAACTATATTATAGGACAAGCTCTGCTATTTTAATGATATCATAACTTACCTTTTGTAACGAACTGTTGCAACTCTGTGCTGAAGACCATCATTTCGCCATCGAGAATGCAAGAATTAACATGAGGCTTAAATGCATCGGCAATGAATGGCGTAAAAGTTCCACTTATGTAATTCTTTCCAAACGAAGATGTGTAATCTTTTGAGCTCCTGGAAAAGTATCGAAACTCAGATCCCTAAAACTAAAACCACTCTCGTATTTTTTATTTATATGAATTTGTCGGTGGTTAAAAATCCTTACGTCTTTATGCAACTGCATCCTCTCTCCGTCCATTTTAGTTTCTACGTAGAAACTTTGGGACGATATACTTTGACAAACTTTCTGTGCCAAAATCCTGTCAGCCAGCATCGGTCGAAATGGAGTGAACAACTTTATCTCAATTTCTCCCAGTGAGACTTTTGGATCACGCAAGTCATCGCAAACTCTCTTCAAATTGGAGCTCACATTGAATAGCTGATCAGCGTCAGGGTGAAACGCGGCAAATATTGAGTTTTCACTCATGCCAATTCTTATTTCTTTGAGGATGATACGCATTACCCACTTCGACTCAATCGGACCTAAGCTGTGCATCAGTTTGGTTAAGCCTGTTTTTACAGCGTCTTTACTTTTTGTCGCATTGCCGATAGCGATACTGTCTAATGTACTGTTTATTTCACGTACCGTCAGATTTCCTTTTTCGGGCAGTCGGTGCTGCAAAACATGATACGCTACTGCAGCGAAGTCGCCAGATGAGTCAGTGCTTCCTTTTAACGCACCTGGAGATCTAAAAAAGAATCCTAATAAGCTAGGAAAGCTCAAAATGCGATTGATTGTAACGATACTATGGGTTTGAAGATAATACCTGAAATTTAAAAGTTTCTGCGCGTCAGGGCTGTCTTTTCCTAGTCCAAGTATGTCAATATAATGTCTGGCCAGGGTGTTTTCTTTGATACCGTAAGCAGGTCTATCTAGGTCCAGCTTTGGTAGCAAAAGTCTCATTACCGGGTAAAAACTAGCTCCATTTTGATGATCAGAATTCGTTCCGTCAATTCCGCCAGTAACATTTCTCCACTTTGTCAGAAAATCTTTGAAAATTTCTTTCTTTCCATCTGTACTTGATTTCTTTTGAAGCTTTTCTAACAGACCGCACACTTCCGAAAACTTTACTCGGGAGTCTACACTTGCCAATTTAATTTCGTCACTAGCTACATTATCTAACATTCTTCATTGACTGCCACTAAAAACAACGCATTTCATTTTTAAAAGACAGGCCTTTTGAAAAACACATGCACGTTTCCAATTATTTGGGTATTCTACACAGAGATGAAGCCAAATCTCGCTTCGTTTGCGATACTACGCAAGCGCAGCATTGGAAGCTAGCTAACAGAAAATAACGCAAAATAAATAAAAACGAAAATCATATTTATGTTAAGTAAGTCAGAAATTATCATGGAAACCAAAGCAACTATACTTGTCCTTCATCATTTCATGCTGTCGAAAAAAAGTGCATTTTCATAAACTAGGGTACAGAAAAATGTAATATGAAAGAAAGGAAAAAAGGTGAGATGGTTGGCAGACGAGTGCTAACCATCTAGCCACTGATCTGTCATGTGGTGTCGTCGCCCTAAAACCTAAGCAATGAGAGTTGAGGCCAATTTGGCTTCATAAAGAGATTCAACTATGAATGCCTAGAGAACCTACCTGCTTCTTCAGACCGTGTAGGCCGTGATTCCATCTTCGGTTACATAATTTTTTTGGAAACATGAAAAAAAACATGAGAACCAGCGCATCGAATAAGCATTAGGTTTTTATCAGGAGACTAGAAAATCAAACATACATGCGATCACGCCAGGTTAGCACAAAATCAATAAAGAACGCCTCGGAAAAAAAAACTTTCATACAAACAAGTTGAGCAATTACATTTTAAATTTTTGAAGTTCCACAAATAAACCTGCTATTTAATCAATTTTGCCTCTTAAGCGACACAAAGCAACTGACTAAAACGATCAAACGTTAACCGAAACAATTTCGTCCGAATACAGCTTGTAACTGAAACATAACAAAAATACTTACTGCCAGGGCTACGAAATTTACAAACCGCAAATTTACAACAACACTTCCATTTAGAAAACTGACATTCAAAACTCTGTGATAAGGCAACGAACTGACAAAAATGAGTAGACAAACGCAAGTAAAACATATCAATGTCTCATACGGAAAAACTTCAAATTTCATTCATAGTGAAAACCATATGTCCGACCGGGACTTGACGAACAGAACTTAGGGTGCAAAGGCAGCCACGTTACCTTCGACCAAGAGCAAAAAAGAGTGGAAATTCTCAAGTTTCCCTAGTAAAACAATTCATTTTCCTTCAGATTTGTAAGAAAATTTGTTTGTTGAAAATAAAAACAATTCACAATCAATCTTTAAATTCTGATGATGCGCAAAATGTGCGATAACGTTTGAATTAGCATTTTAAAACTCTTATAATTCACAATTAGTTACTCTCGCTGGTGTAAAAACTTGACTTGGTTTGGGTGTCAAAGGCCAACTTGGGGGGTGGTTTTTTATGAGAATTGCCTTTTGAGGTTCGCCGAAGTGAGTTCTAAAGCGCTATTCAGAAAACCTGGTAAATAACAAGGATAGCCGGTTACTGTGCAAGTAACACAGAATGTTCCGACCACAGTCTTGAAAAATTGAACGAAAAAATAGAATTTGGGCAGATTTGAGAGTAGTAGTAGTAAAATGAGTCATGTGAAAACCAGTTTTTGAAGAGAAATGACTAGCAAAACGAAGAAAAGAGCCGAAAAGTCCCAAAATTGCCCTAAATAAACCCAGAAACTACATTTACTTGAATAGAACGTTTTCACGGCTGAAATTAGGCTTAAATAAGCTACTGTAAGCATATACGGTCACCTTATTAGCTCGAACTTAGACCAAAAATCAAAAATTTCAACCCGGTTTTTCTCGACACTGTGATAAATAAGTTTAATGTCGTTCGAATCACGACTAAAAGCGCTTTAATATGATATATCACTCAACCCAGTCCAATCATTATTTGTGGTACCTGATTTTCCCAGTGTTGAGAAGAACCGGTTTAAATTTTTGAGCTTTAGTCTAATTTGGGCGAGTAAAGCGATCAAGTAACGCTCGTTGTATATAAATATTGTCCATTAGGGTTGATAAAAACTTTATCTTATTAAACATAAAACAGCCTTCGAAGCTTCATGAAGGATGAGAAAGGTCTCGCTAATGATATCCCCAAAAGATTGCTATCCTAGAAAACATGAACGCAAAAGGTAATCATAAGGTCAAAAGTATCATAGTAACCGAGGTTACAGTCAGGAGTCCCTTCATCATGTATTCCAGTCAAAATCCTTGGAATTTTCTAGATATGGAAGTGATAATAATAAAAAGAAGATGACAAGTGTTTAAGTCCTTTTCAATTAAAATCGATACGGGTTACGTTTCTTCAATAAGAACACGCAACTCGACACGAGAAAATATAATATACAAGTGTTACAAATAAAAAACTTCGTCGAAAGTTATTTTGTCATTTATTGTTCCGAGTACGCAAGCAGCGTTCGCAATCTGTATTGCCAGGGAGATTCTCTGTTTTAAAAAGCAGTCTGCTCTGGGTTCATCTGTGCATATGCTTAGGTTCTTACAAAGCTTGCTCAAAAAAATTTCTGTGCTGGGGCCGGCCGCGCCCTGAATTTCAAAAGCTAGCGGTTGAAAAAGATATCCATCATTTACAAGATCTTTATACTTGTCAATTTTTCGCTCTTCCGCTTCAGCGGCAGCCGTACCAGGGTTACAATGTGCCAGTCGGTCATATTTGGAAGTTTGACCTCTCGCGACAACTGAAAATATCAGAAAAATAAGATCAGAACATCCGATTTAAAACGCGGGAAAGTACTTAGAAAAACAGCGGGAAATTGCTATTCGCAATTTCTAGATACGAAATAAACGCGAGTAGAACCGTCTTATCCTGAAATAGGAAAAGAAACGATTGTGAAAGAAGATCACGATTATTCGAGCTGAACTAGAGTGAACCCTCAGTGGAAAGGTGGACAGCTGGGGTGTCCCAATGGTTCAGACCAAAACTTCATTACTAGAGTCAAAACTTGTTTTCCTAATTGAAACTAATCAGTATTAAACTTCTCAAGTTATCATACTGATTAGTTTAATACTGACATTAAAATTATAGTACATGTTTAAACATGACTAAAAATTGCAATTTTTGAAAAATAAACTGACATGTCAGTTTGGATAAAACATCAAATCGAAAAATTATGACTCAAGTAACAAAAAAGTATGGAAATTGTCATAATCGATGAAATAATGATTACGTAATAACAGATGTAAGAATGTGATTGGTTAAAAATTTCTAACATGTTCTTTTTGAATTTCATACATGATCTTTGATCATTTTATTGTTAATAAAAAATTTTATATCCTGACGATGCACAAAATGTGCGAAAACGTTTGAATTAACAATTTTAAAAAATTCTTATTCTACTTTTTGTTAAATTTTGGAGAAAAAAAATAACCTCGGCGAAGAGTGAATGATAGATTAAAAAGTTTGTTGTAAAAATACAAACAAAAAATTTTTAGATCATTTTTATTTTTCTCAGAATAGTCTTAATTTTTATTTTTTCTTTTCTCATCTTAACAATGAGTTTTCTTACATTTGAGTTAAAATGGCATGGGTTGTAGCTGCAAGCTCTCTATTTCATAGCTTGAATACCTTACGACCAGCAGAGAAAGCGGAACTGGACGAACTGGTATACGCTGAATCGGGATTATCGCTGAATCCTCATACCGTGAGGAAGAGACAAAATTTACAGACTCTTCTGGAAGAGCATCCTCTGGTGGACAAGGAGATAATTCTTTGGCACGACGTATTGAATAACAGTTTGTCGAAACACCGAACCAATGCCAACACGCTTTATCCTCTGGACGATTTAATTTCGTATTTGCAATCAAAGCGACATCGGTTTAAGGCGATTATATATTGCAGAAGAACCAGAACGACAGATATCTTTGATTCTCTGATGCGTACAAGGATCTTGATAGTCCCAACAACGAAATTGATCTCGAGAGGCAAGAGGCAGGATCCCGCTTTGGTGAGACAATACCTGGAAGTTCATCAATCGAGCGAACTTGAGTTGAAGTCATTGCGAGTTGTGCTGACACATAGAGAGAACTTGCCCGGGATATTCTCAAAGATAAGAGCGCGGACTCAGAAACCATCACAAGGACGACGCAAGGCGAAGGCACGCAGAGAGGAAACAACGACTGACGTCTCTCTACCATCGGCTGAAAGGGCGCGGATTGGGTAAGTGAATCTACTGTGTGAATTATCCTGCTGAGAGCCGCGTGAGTTTAAGTGCTCGTGGCCTGCAGGATAATGACCGCCGTAGTTTTGCCCCCACCGATGCTGAGATGGATACTCAGGAAAAAACAAACTTGGAAGTTAGTTTTGAATTACCTGAAGTATTCAAATAAATTAAACAACAATTTCCATCGATTGAAGTTTTTACGGAAATGTCAAAGCAATGACATAATACCAGATTTTTTGAGATTTCGGGTGCCAGAAAATGGGGTTTTTACGGACCAAGCGGTGCATAGCTTTCAATTAAAATTCCTAAGAACAGAGATAAATCAGGCAAGGTCAGAAGAGAAGAAGATAGACGATGATCTAGCTAAGGCAAGAGAGGTAGTGCGGAGAGGGATAGATGAACAATGGTGGCCCTCAATAGCATTTTATCTAAAGCTCCAGGCTAGAATTGCTATCCATGACATCAAGGATAGACATGAAAAGAAGTTAAAAAAGCTAGCAGAGCGGCAGGACAGACCGTTAATGAAAGTGAATGACAAATCGGTCAGAGCACTAGATGGCATTGAGCTACCCAAGTGGGTTCATGAAGTGTTAGGTTTTGGCCCAAAGCACCCGGTGAGGGATCGTTTCAATGAACTTCACTTTCTTGCGGACATTGATAATTTTTTATCTGAGCTTAAATCGCAAAAGGTAGCAGGTGAAAAATTATGTGAAATTGAAGCTGCTGCAAAATCATACGCTAAACGTGTGCGGCAAACACCGTCGGATAGCGGGATTGAGAAAGCCAGGAAGTATTTGAAGGACAATGGTCTCTTGGCAGTCCCATGCGATAAAGGTGTTGGCTTCTGTGTAATGAAGAAAACGACATATGAGGCTAAACTAACTGAGCTGCTGCAATCGGAACAATTTAGCGAAAAACCAGGTTTAACTGATAGTGTTGTTATGAAAATTGAGAAAGACATCAACAAAGAACTGTTGGCCATGAAAAAGAAAGATGAGATCGATGAGGCACTGTATAGTAGGCTTAGGTCCACGGGAGGGCAGCCAGCTCGATTATATGGATTGGCTAAAGTACATAAGAAAGGAACCCCTCTCCGTCCCGTACTGTCACTGCCAGGGAGCTCATATGAACATCTAAATAAAACTTTGGCCAAATTTTTTGACAACATTGAGGGGGCAAACATTGAGACAAACACACAAATGGCTCGGGAGATCATAGAGAACATAGATCTAGACTATAATGAGAGTATTATCTCCCTGGATGTCAAAATTTTGTACACTAATGTCCCACTAAAGGAGGCAATAGATATAGCACTGAGGAAACTGTACGAACAAACTAGTCCTCCTAAACTGGCACGCGGAACTATGAAGAAATTGTTGAACATGGCTCTAAGTAAGGTGCACTTCAAAAGCAATGGTTTATGGTACGTACAAAAGGATGGGTTGGCAATGGGTGCATCCCTTGCTGTCATTCTTGCCAATTTATGGCTAAAGGAGTACGAATATGCATTAATGAAGGAAGTACCTGCGTTGACACAGCTAAATGAAAACCGGAATGGCCTATGCCCTGATTGCGAGCGGAGGGTAACATACAGAAGTAAGGGGATCGAATGCGAAGCTTGTTTAAATTGGTACCATTTAAAATGTAGTAATGTATCCGACAAAGAATATGAGCAAATCTCAGAAATGGTTTGGTATTGTAAGAGATGTAAAGAGCAGCGAGATCAAGAAAAACCAACAGAAAGTGTCAAAGCGTTCCTAAGATATGTAGATGATATAGTGAGGACGGTAAAGGGGGATCCAGATACAGTGTTAAAAGCAGCTAATGAGCTCCACCCCAACTTACAATTCACTATCGAAAATCCGGATTCGAACGGAGACTTAGCCTTTCTAGATTTGAACATTTATGTGGACTCACGAAAAAAGGTAACATGTGGATGGTGTCAAAAACCAACGGATACTGGGACTATCCTTAACTTCAGAAGCTGCGCTCCATTGCAATATAAACGCAATGTAGTTGAGGGTACTGTTCATCGGATTTTTAGAAGTACATCAACTTGGGAAAACTTTGACAAGGCAATGAAGATTAATAAAGAACAATGGGTGGATAATCAATACCCTGAAAAATGGTCAGATGGTGTCGTATTAAGAACGTTGAATAAGATCATCGACCGAAAAACTGACACACGAACAACGGTAACATCAGTCAAGGAAGATCCTTTAAAGGTCAGTGCACCCATTATAACATTACAATACCGGGGTAATGCATCGGAGTGGTTTGCTTCCAAACTGCGTCAAAACGCCGGAGCCCAAGTGATATTTACTACGAGAAAGCTCAAGACTTGCCTACCGTCCCTTAAATCTCCCTTTGCGAAAGATTTGAAATCCAGAGTGGTCTACAAGCTCACATGTAGTGGATGTAATTCCACCTATGTTAGACAAACGGTCCGGCATTTGACCACGCGGATTGAAGAGCATCACAAGGAAGATTCGCCAGTAGGGCAACATTTGAGAGAATGTGACAGGGATGGTAAGAGCGCTGAGCTTAAGTCTGAGATTATAGATCAATCAAGTAACATACAGAAACTCCTCACTCTGGAGGCCTTACATATTTGGAAAGAACGCCCCAGAATTAACACGCGCGAGGAGTTCAGGAGCAGGGAGCTGACATTAAAATTATAGTACATGTTTAAACATGACTAAAAATTGCAATTTTTGAAAAAATAAACTGACATGTCAGTTTGGATAAAACATCAAATCGAAAAATTATGACTCAAGTAACAGAAAAGTATGGAAATTGTCATAATCGATGAAATAATGATTACGTAATAACAGATGTAAGAATGTGATTGGTTAAAAATTTCTAACATGTTCTTTTTGAATTTCATACATGATCTTTGATCATTTTATTGTAAATAAAAAATTTTATATCCTGACGATGCACAAAATGTGCGAAAAAGTTTGAATTAACAATTTTAAAAAATTCTTATCATACTTAATTCTCGAGTTGCTCATTAATTTAGTTACCTCTAATTCCCGAGTGTGCCGACATGTGAGTTCTCAATTTAGTTTTCTTGAGTGTGTTTTATGATTGTTATATTTGGATAAGGCGTCTTTTAGGTTGATCCATCTGAAATGGATCAAAGTTTCACTGTCTAATAAAAAGTAACTCTGCAGATTGTTCCGACCCTGTTTTTAATGGCGTTCAGGTATTTTGGGTATTTTGAGACCTAAGTATAGGGACGTTCTTATTTTCTAGAGTGGGGGGTACTTTGGTAGTGGCCTTTAAGCTGTAACGGGTTTTTAGTCTCATGTCGCAAGCGAACCGAATTGGCTCCGACCGTTTTGAGTTGGAAAAACACAAGAGATAGTGTCCCTGACTCTTGAGCCAATGGTTATAGGGCCTATTCTTCTTAGGCCTCATATGTGACCGAAGTAGGCGACTGTTACATAGTGTTTTTATGGCGCTCCAGGGTGTTTTTACGACATCATGACTACGGAGTCGAACCCACTTGACGCAGCTCCGGGCTACAAGCCCATTCTAGAGTAACTGTGGTACGGTTCAGCGGGAACGTGTAAACCTTCCGGTTGTACCGTGATAGCTTTTTAGGCAAACTCGAGAAAACTTCCTGGTACGCTCTCCGAACGAGGCTTAGCTAACCGAGTAAAGGGGGGTAACCAGGGGGGACAAAAAAAAACGAACAAAAGAAACAAAGCGAAACAAAAACCGAAAAACAACAGAAAAAGGAACAAAAACTATAAAACAAAGAATGACAGTGACTTTGACACCAAATTAATTGGATCAAACCTTTATATCAATGAAATAGTATACCCATACTGTTTTTTGTATATAAGACCGATCGTTTTGATCATTTCAGCAATCTGAAAAGGTGCCCGAGTGTGGGGCGTTGTGAAGGGTTTTCAGATAGCTTGCAACTTAGCTGGACCATTAGGAGACTTGACTGGAACAGGTGGCCAGTCGAGTGGGAGAGTGGTCCACAGGGACTCAGCTGGACCATTAGGAGACTTGACTGGAACAGGTGGCCAGCCGAGTGGGAGAGTGGTTCACAGGGACTTAGCTGGACCATTAGGAGACTTGACTGGAACAGGTGACCAGTCGAGTGGGAAAGTGGTTCACAGGGACTTAGCTGGACCATTAGGAGACTTGACTGGAACAGGTGACCAGCCAAGTGGGAAAGTGGTGCTGGTGATCAGCCGCAGGACAAGTCAAGGAAACAACCAGCACGAGCAGAGCAACAAGAGAGGACGGGGGCGTTCTCAAGTTGGTCAAACGGGTATCGTTAAAATTCACATTACATTATAGAAAATAAGTTTAAAATTGGATAAGCGGAACCCCATTGATTTGAGGAAGTTTTTACTCAAGCAGGCCTGGAAACAGGTCTACGGTTTTCTCTCGAGAGGTTTAGCACCCGGCGCTTAAGGGAATTTTCGGCTTAAGAGGGGGGCTAAAGAGGGGGGAGGTTAGAAGGGGGGCTGGTTAGGTTAGAGGTTGGTGGTTGTAAAGTGTAAAAAGGGGGGACACATTAGACTAACTAATTGATCGGCATCGTCGATTTAGTTGCATTAGATTCTTACACGCATCGGTTATAAGAAGCGGATATCCAAATTTAATATCGAATTAAGGTAGGTACCCTGGTCGGATCGGGAGGGGGGAACGTACATAGACAGTTTTTGTGATACCCCATAAGATTGCTAGCAGGGGGGACGAGAACGCGTGGCAATCAGGTATCAGACAATTTTGTTTACTGTTGTTCAGACAAAGGGTTGACACAAGCCACCTTTGAATTTTAGGTGGGTACATTTTTTTCTCTTTCTCTTTTTTCGCTTTTATCGATATTCATTATTTTTCCCTGTGTTAAATTTTGACGCTTTATGGAGAAGAAAGTTTTAATTGGTTTTGGACAAACAAGTGATCACAAGACATCTAGAACAGGTTGGGTTTCAACTTGCATCACAATATTAAATGGAAATAAATACAAGGGGGTTGGTGATTTTAACTTTTGGCCAGTATGGTTTGGTGTTTTTTGGGCAAATTTTAACTAGAGCTCGAGGGGTGGTACAAGGTACAGTGGTTCGAGGCAGTCTTGGGACAGGCAGTCTTGGGACAGCAGGCAGTCTTGGGACAGACAGTCTTGGGACATGCAGTCTTGGGACAAGCAGTCTTGGGACAGGCAGTCTTGGGACAGGCAGTCTTGGGACAGGTAGTCTTGGGACAGGTAATCTTGGGACAGGCAGTCTTGGGACAGGCAGTCTTGGGACAGGCAGTCTTGGGACAGGCAGTCTTGGGACAGTCAGTCTCGGGACAGGTAGTCTTGGGACAGGCAGTCTTGGGACAGGCAGTCTTGGGACAGGCAGTCTTGGGACAGGTAGTCTTGGGACAGGCAGTCTTGGGACATGCAGTCTTGGGACAGGCAGTCTTGGGACAGGCAGTCTTGGGACAGGTAGTCTTGGGACAGGTAGTCTTGGGACAGGCAGTCTTGGGACAGGCAGTCTTGGGACAGGCAGTCTTGGGACAGGAAGTCTTGGGACAGGCAGTCTCGGGACAGACAGTCTTGGGACAGGCAGTCTTGGGACAGGCAGTCTTGGGACAGGCAGTCTCGGGACAGGCAGTCTCGGGACAGGCAGTCTTGGGACAGTAAGTCTTGGGACAGGCAGTCTTGGGACAGGCAGTCTTGGGACAGGCAGTCTTGGGACAGGCAGTCTTGGGACAGGCAGTCTTGGGACAGGCACTCTTGGGACAGGCAGTCTTGGGACAGGCAGTCTTGGGACAGGCAGTCTTGAGACAGGCAGTCTTGGGACAGGCAGTCTTGGGACCGGCATTCTTGGGACAGGCAGTCTTGGGACAGGCAGTCTTGGGACAGGTAGCCTTGGGACAGGCAGTCTTGGGACAGGCAGTCTTGGGACAGGTAGTCTTGGGACAGGCAGTCTTGGGACAGGCAGTCTTGGGACATGCAGTCTTGGGACAGGCAGTCTTGGGACAGGCAGTCTTGGGACAGGCAGTCTTGGGACAGGCAGTCTTGGGACAGGCAGTCTTGGGACAGGCAGTCTTGGGACAGGCAGTCTTGGGACAGGCAGCCTTGGGACAGGCAGTCTTGGGACGGGCAGTTTTGGGACAGGTAGTCTTGGGGCAGGCAGTCTTGGGCAGGCAGTCTTGGGACAGGCAGTCTTGGGACAGGCAGTCTTGGGACAGGCAGTCTTGGGACAGGACCAGAAAGCCTTGGGACAGGACCAGAAAGCCTTGGAACAGGACCAGAAGGTCCTGGGACAGGACCAGAAAGTCTTAGGACAGTACATAGAAGTGTTGGGACAGTACATAGAAGTGATGGGACAGTACATAGAAGTGTTGGGACAGCACATAGAAGTGTTGGGACAGTACGAAGAAGTGGTGTGACGGTACCAAAGGGTCTTAAGACAGGTCGAAATAACTGAATCAAAAGCAATAGGACTAGTCGGAACGTTAAATCACGATAGACCGGATTCTGTTGGGATCACGAATAAGTAAAATTTTAATAAATCTTATAGGGAAAAGGAACGTTGTTATAGGAACGTTGTTATAGGGAATAAATACAAGGGGTTGGTGATTTTAACTTTTGTCCAGTAACGTTTGGTGTTTTTGGGCGAATTTTAACGAGAGCTCGAGTGGTGGTACAAGGTACAGTGGTTCGAGGCAGTCTTGGGACAGGCAGTCTTGGGACAGACAGTCTTGGGACAGGCAGTCTAGGGACAGGCAGTCTTGGGACAGGCAGTCTTGGGACAGGCAGTCTTGGGACAGGCAGTCTTGGGACAGGCAGTCTTGGGACAGGCAGTCTTGGGACAGACAGTCTTGGGACAGACAGTCTTGGGACAGGCAGTCTTGGGACAGACAGTCTTAGGACAGGCAGTCTAGGGACAGGCAGTCTTCGGACAGGCAGTCTTGGGACAGGCAGTCTTGGGACAGGCAGTCTTGGGACAGGCAGTCTTGGGACAGGCAGTCTTGGGACAGGCAGTCTTGGGACAGGCAGTCTTGGGACAGGCAGTCTTGGGACAGACAGTCTTGGGACAGGCAGTCTAGGGACAGGCAGTCTTCGGACAGGCAGTCTTGGGACAGGCAGTCTTGGGACAGGCAGTCTTGGGACAGGCAGTCTTGGGACAGGCAGTCTTGGGACATGCAGTCTTGGGACAGGCAGTCATGGGACAGGTAGTCTTGAGACAGGCAGTCTTGGGACAGGCAGTCTTGGGACAGGCAGTCTTGGGACAGGCAGTCTTGGGACAGACAGTCTTGGGACAGACAGTCTTGGGACAGGCAGTCTTGGGAAAGACAGTCTTGGGACAGGCAGTCTAGGGACAGGCAGTCTTCGGACAGGCAGTCTTGGGACAGGCAGTCTTGGGACAGGCAGTCTTGGGACAGGCAGTCTTGGGACAGGCAGTCTTGAGACAGGCAGTCTTGGGACAGGCAGTCTTGGGACAGGCAGTCTTGGGACAGGCAGTCTAGGGACAGGCAGTCTTCGGACAGGCAGTCTTGGGACAGGCAGTCTTGGGACAGGCAGTCTTGGGACAGGCAGTCTTGGGACAGGCAGTCTCGGGACAGGTAGTCTTGGGACAGGTAGTCTTGGGACAGGTAGTCTTGGGACAGGCAGTCTTGGGACAGGCAGTCTAGGGACAGGCAGTCTTGGGACAGGCAGTCTTGGGACAGGCAGTCTTGGGACAGGCAGTCTTGGGACAGGCAGTCTTGGGACAGGCAGTCTTGGGACAGGTAGTCTTGGGACAGGTAGTCTTGGGACAGGCAGTCTTGGGACAGGCAGTCTTGGGACATGCAGTCTTGGGACAGGCAGTCTTGGGACAGGCAGTCTTGGGACAGGTAGTCTTGGGACAGGTAGTCTTGGGACAGGCAGTCTTGGGACAGGCAGTCTTGGGACATGCAGTCTTGGGACAGGCAGTCTTGGGACAGGTAGTCTTGAGACAAGCAGTCTTGGGACATGCAGTCTTGGGACAGGCAGTCTTGGGACAGGTAGTCTTGAGACAGGTAGTCTTGGGACAGGCAGTCTTGGGACAGGCAGTCTTGGGACAGGCAGTCTTGGGACAGGTAATCTTGGGACAGGCAGTCTTGGGACAGGCAGTCTTGGGACAGGCAGTATTGGGACAGGCAGTCTTGGGACAGGCAGTCTCGGGACAGGTAGTCTTGGGACAGGCAGTCTTGGGACAGGCAGTCTTGGGACAGGCAGTCTTGGGACAGGCAGTCTTGGGACAGACAGTCTTGGGACAGACAGTCTTGGGACAGGCAGTCTTGGGACAGACAGTCTTGGGACAGGCAGTCTAGGGACAGGCAGTCTTCGGACAGGCAGTCTTGGGACAGGCAGTCTTGGGACAGGCAGTCTTGGGACAGGCAGTCTTGGACAGGCAGTCTTGAGACAGGCAGTCTTGGGACAGGCAGTCTTGGGACAGGCAGTCTTGGGACAGGCAGTCTAGGGACAGGCAGTCTTCGGACAGGCAGTCTTGGGACAGGCAGTCTTGGGACAGGCAGTCTTGGGACAGGCAGTCTTGGGACAGGCAGTCTCGGGACAGGTAGTCTTGGGACAGGTAGTCTTGGGACAGGTAGTCTTGGGACAGGCAGTCTTGGGACAGGCAGTCTAGGGATAGGCAGTCTTGGGACAGGCAGTCTTGGGACAGGCAGTCTTGGGACAGGCAGTCTTGGGACAGGCAGTCTTGGGACAGGCAGTCTTGGGACAGGTAGTCTTGGGACAGGTAGTCTTGGGACAGGCAGTCTTGGGACAGGCAGTCTTGGGACATGCAGTCTTGGGACAGGCAGTCTTGGGACAGGCAGTCTTGGGACAGGTAGTCTTGGGACAGGTAGTCTTGGGACAGGCAGTCTTGGGACAGGCAGTCTTGGGACATGCAGTCTTGGGACAGGCAGTCTTGGGACAGGTAGTCTTGAGACAAGCAGTCTTGGGACATGCAGTCTTGGGACAGGCAGTCTTGGGACAGGTAGTCTTGGGACAGGCAGTCTTGGGACAGGCAGTCTTGGGACATGCAGTCTTGGGACAGGCAGTCTTGGGACAGGCAGTCTTGGGACAGGCAGTCTTGGGACAGGCAGTCTTGGGACAGGCAGTCTTGGGACAGGCAGTCTTGGGACAGGCAGTCTTGGGACAGGCAGCCTTGGGACAGGCAGTCTTGGGACGGGCAGTTTTGGGACAGGTAGTCTTGGGGCAGGCAGTCTTGGGCAGGCAGTCTTGGGACAGGCAGTCTTGGGACAGGCAGTCTTGGGACAGGCAGTCTTGGGACAGGACCAGAAAGCCTTGGGACAGGACCAGAAAGCCTTGGAACAGGACCAGAAGGTCCTGGGACAGGACCAGAAAGTCTTAGGACAGTACATAGAAGTGTTGGGACAGTACATAGAAGTGATGGGACAGTACATAGAAGTGTTGGGACAGCACATAGAAGTGTTGGGACAGTACGAAGAAGTGGTGTGACGGTACCAAAGGGTCTTAAGACAGGTCGAAATAACTGAATCAAAAGCAATAGGACTAGTCGGAACGTTAAATCACGATAGACCGGATTCTGTTGGGATCACGAATAAGTAAAATTTTAATAAATCTTATAGGGAAAAGGAACGTTGTTATAGGAACGTTGTTATAGGGAATAAATACAAGGGGTTGGTGATTTTAACTTTTGTCCAGTAACGTTTGGTGTTTTTGGGCGAATTTTAACGAGAGCTCGAGTGGTGGTACAAGGTACAGTGGTTCGAGGCAGTCTTGGGACAGGCAGTCTTGGGACAGACAGTCTTGGGACAGGCAGTCTAGGGACAGGCAGTCTTGGGACAGGCAGTCTTGGGACAGGCAGTCTTGGGACAGGCAGTCTTGGGACAGGCAGTCTTGGGACAGACAGTCTTGGGACAGACAGTCTTGGGACAGGCAGTCTTGGGACAGACAGTCTTAGGACAGGCAGTCTAGGGACAGGCAGTCTTCGGACAGGCAGTCTTGGGACAGGCAGTCTTGGGACAGGCAGTCTTGGGACAGGCAGTCTTGGGACAGGCAGTCTTGGGACAGGCAGTCTTGGGACAGGCAGTCTTGGGACAGGCAGTCTTGGGACAGACAGTCTTGGGACAGGCAGTCTAGGGACAGGCAGTCTTCGGACAGGCAGTCTTGGGACAGGCAGTCTTGGGACAGGCAGTCTTGGGACAGGCAGTCTTGGGACAGGCAGTCTTGGGACATGCAGTCTTGGGACAGGCAGTCATGGGACAGGTAGTCTTGAGACAGGCAGTCTTGGGACAGGCAGTCTTGGGACAGGCAGTCTTGGGACAGGCAGTCTTGGGACAGACAGTCTTGGGACAGACAGTCTTGGGACAGGCAGTCTTGGGAAAGACAGTCTTGGGACAGGCAGTCTAGGGACAGGCAGTCTTCGGACAGGCAGTCTTGGGACAGGCAGTCTTGGGACAGGCAGTCTTGGGACAGGCAGTCTTGGGACAGGCAGTCTTGAGACAGGCAGTCTTGGGACAGGCAGTCTTGGGACAGGCAGTCTTGGGACAGGCAGTCTAGGGACAGGCAGTCTTCGGACAGGCAGTCTTGGGACAGGCAGTCTTGGGACAGGCAGTCTTGGGACAGGCAGTCTTGGGACAGGCAGTCTCGGGACAGGTAGTCTTGGGACAGGTAGTCTTGGGACAGGTAGTCTTGGGACAGGCAGTCTTGGGACAGGCAGTCTAGGGACAGGCAGTCTTGGGACAGGCAGTCTTGGGACAGGCAGTCTTGGGACAGGCAGTCTTGGGACAGGCAGTCTTGGGACAGGCAGTCTTGGGACAGGTAGTCTTGGGACAGGTAGTCTTGGGACAGGCAGTCTTGGGACAGGCAGTCTTGGGACATGCAGTCTTGGGACAGGCAGTCTTGGGACAGGCAGTCTTGGGACAGGTAGTCTTGGGACAGGTAGTCTTGGGACAGGCAGTCTTGGGACAGGCAGTCTTGGGACATGCAGTCTTGGGACAGGCAGTCTTGGGACAGGTAGTCTTGAGACAAGCAGTCTTGGGACATGCAGTCTTGGGACAGGCAGTCTTGGGACAGGTAGTCTTGAGACAGGTAGTCTTGGGACAGGCAGTCTTGGGACAGGCAGTCTTGGGACAGGCAGTCTTGGGACAGGTAATCTTGGGACAGGCAGTCTTGGGACAGGCAGTCTTGGGACAGGCAGTATTGGGACAGGCAGTCTTGGGACAGGCAGTCTCGGGACAGGTAGTCTTGGGACAGGCAGTCTTGGGACAGGCAGTCTTGGGACAGGCAGTCTTGGGACAGGCAGTCTTGGGACAGACAGTCTTGGGACAGACAATCTTGGGACAGGCAGTCTTGGGACAGACAGTCTTGGGACAGGCAGTCTAGGGACAGGCAGTCTTCGGACAGGCAGTCTTGGGACAGGCAGTCTTGGGACAGGCAG